TTGGTAAAAATTCCTGCTAAGTTGACTGTACTTTACTACAGAAACATTTTAACTGAATCACGATAACTTCGAGTAGTCAAAATTTTTGGTTGCATGTGAAAACAGGATGTTAAGGATACATTCAATGTTTGCAGATCTGTGTTTCGACTACCGCATTTGCAAAGCCAGAATCGACCAAAAAATAGGACAGTAGGACGAAAGGTGATGAGAGGCTTTGGAGGCGGTATATTTCGAGCATGCCTTAAGCTTCGCAGGGGGGGGTGCAACTTAAGCGGACGCACAAAAATTTAGCAAAACGCTTATTGTGATGGTTGCTTTTGGGGCCCCTGAAGTACCACCAAAATGCGTGTTGCACTACTATTGCGTCCTTTCCACTACCTACTGGTTTGAATGCATTCGGGGAATCGAGCCACTAATTACTCGTCACCATATGTTCTAAATATCGAGGCAATTACGACGGTAAAAAAACGATTTACCTTCCATCTGCAAGGGCAAGAAGGTTCATCATGGTCACAACACTACAAAGAATACTTTTCAATGCGTTGGTCGACAAATGTTCGAGAAATAGACGATAGATACATATCATTGAAGATGAAAATTTTCCAGGAATATTGAAACATATTGAAATTAGAGCCTTAAGAAGGAGTTATATTCACCCAACTTTCCTAAGTTGTAATGAAAAAAGTGGAGCATGGGTCGAGTGGCACTGTAAAGAACAGCCTGAGTCACCGCAGCGCTCTGACACATGTGTGCATGTGCACACATGCATATGTACCTAAAGAATGGCCCACAAATCCGTTCGGTAGTGTACAAACCACTGTGGGAGGCCTGTTTGCTGCAGTATGGCAGAAATGCATCTCAATCAAGTCTTCCTACTATCGATAACAGCGACCCACTGCACACCCAGAAGTCATTGTTGACAAATTCAAGTATTCGCCTTGGCCCAGCACACCTCTCCCTCTGATTTGCTTTACTTAAGACGCTTGTCTCCCTTTTCGAGCGATCATTCATTCGCAATAATTTTACCCGACTTTGTTCATGCTGAACCAGTGAAACTTTTGTTTAAATATACTTTTGGGGTAGGAAATGTGCCTACTGCCACGAGCGAGAGAGAGGGAAAGAACGAGACAGGCACGACTACTTCTTATTTTAAAGACGCATTTGCCCTATGAGAAAGCCTAACCACGTATAAATTCCCATTTTTTTTGGCATTTTGCAAATTAATTGCTCTACTGGGTTTGTTTAAACGAACACCGTCTGATTAAACACTGAAAAAGGTCAATGTGTAGTGGTAGCGAGTAACTACGTGTTTTAATTCTGTAATTAAGTTGACGATGCTGAGGGTTGTTGTGTTATTTAGCAGGCGGCGCTTCAAGCCTTGCCTAAAGACTGATGACAACAAGACCAAAGCAATTGCGAGTGCTTTGGATGGAAGTGACTTGACAATTACCAGGACAGGGCCACATGAGACATTACCGGCCTGTCCCTTCCCAATAAAGGTTAGCCAGAAGCATTAGGAATACACAAAGTACAGAGAAAATTGTTTTTCTGAAGAGAAGAGTGGCGGTGATGTGTGCATTTGCCTGTTCCCAAAATCCTGACATAGAGACACAGAAACGCCCCTTTCCATTGTTTGCGCTCCCAGATTTAAAGGAAAATTGTTAATGCTTTAAAGTTGAATACTCGCAAGGAGCGGTTGTGGCGACTGCGTTTTGTTTGTCAAGCAGTCCTTCGCCTTGAGAAAAATTTGGACGCCACCTCTTTGACTGGACATTAATGGCAAAGAAAGGTCCAGAAATGAAATCCGCAAAATTTACATCTACGCCATATTTTCCTCACCCACACTTCACCCTTTAAACCAAAACTGGGAGAATATTTTTGGACTTACTTTGTTGACCCCTTAACTTAGCATCCTCACAAGACTTTCCATTTGGCAGGGGAAGGCAGGAGGCGTAAATGGCAGCTTATGGTAGAACGGAAAGGGTGGAGGTGGGGCTACTGCTTGACTCGACGACCAGACCACACGACCGAAGCAAAAATGATCGCCAAGGTGGCCGCCCTTCATGAACTAGCGAAATAAACAAATTATTGCATTGCACAGAACACAGAATTTGGCGGCCTAACAGCACTGAGTCGTTTAATGGCCACCATTAAAATATACCGAATATTGCAAGTACCCTTTCCACCACCACATCCCACGGCTTGGAGACATGACCAACATTCTTACCCATGAGCCAAACAATTTGTTCATGCTCTAATTGGCCACACTTATTTAAGCCAAAAAAAAAAAACGCTAAAATCCTCAACGCGATTGGTGACAAACAATTCTAAAGAAGCGTACTTCTGCGTAGGCATGGCCAATACCTCGATTCTCGTGGTCACCTTGCCTATTTTTAAGACTAGAATACCCCAAGGTCAGTTTTGATTGGTGGATGGTGGACAGTGAAATTTGATAGGATAACTCGGAGGTCTCGGTCGCCTACTTGCCTGCTGTTGGGCTTAGAGAAGGAAATCCTCGACGAGGCGATCAATTGTATCGCATTAGTTCTCCACCATTCTACTTATTAAAATAGTAGCAAAGTTGCATTGTATGAAGCAGGAGGTTGATTGCTCAAACAGTCCTTTAACGCAGTTAATCTTTTCCTGCCCCAAACTAACACCTCAAAAATCGGTGCACTATCATGATGGCAGTGTAGGTGAACATTTGAATGGCCATGTAGATGAAGATTGCATCGCTGCTCTTGAAGTATAAGTGTTAATCAGCGCATACTGTCGCTTAAAACACACACAGCTTGATGATTATCACGAAGTTGGGTTTATCGTTTTGCCATTTTTATGGACGAAAATTTAATGCAGATGAATTGTTTAAAGCGTGCGATGTAGGTCAGAGGCAGGCGTTCAGTTAGTGCGCCGTGCTTAGGGGGAGAACACTTGTGTGACTCCGGAACAGGAATAAGCTCCCTTTCACCATCCTCTTGCACTCTGCCCCTCGCCCTGCCCCAGCACCCAAAGGAAGGCAGACGCCGGCGGAATCGGTCAAGCGGCAGTCCGATGCTAGCAGCGCCAAGACTGCAGAAACTATTTGCAAATTTAACATAAAAAAAGTGCAGCACAATGCACCAACCTTTTTTCCACAAAACCTCATTTTGTCTTTTCACGGCTGGAATAGTATCCACTTCTTGCTTTTAATAAAACATGAAGACATGCATGATTAGGTGTGATGCCTAAATGGCGCGCACTCTAAATACTCCACATTAACAGTCGAGCGAACGAAATGAGGAATGTAAGTTGCACAATTTTTACTCAAATCTCATTCCTATTCGTGTCTCACATTCAAAAATGCATGGCTGACTTGAGGGGTGGGGAATGGCACCTCGTTGGTGATGTAGCCACACGAAACTCGGTGTGAAGTACCAGAGCGAGAGAGAGAGAGAGAGAGCGCGAAATAAATTATAAACACCAGAAATGCATCGTCGGGATGCAAATAAGTAAAAGATGATTTTAACACATTTAAACCTACAACTGCCTTCAAAGCCAGTGGTCTACATGGTGAAGGAATAGAGCAACAACTGACATAAACAGACTCCAGAAATTACAGGAATGCGGTATGCGAGTGAGATCAGCCTTACCTTCCCAAAATAACCTATTTCTACTAATGTGGTGACAAAGACAAGCGTAAAGCTACTTTTAAAGTCTTGTGTAGAAGTCATTGAGCAGACCTTTACCATAAACCCTTCACCTGACATTTTAGCCTTCATTATGTAACGCAGGAAGTGGACAGCTTCCCTTTGCAAGCCGGTAGGGTGTAAAAGTTATTCTGCAGTTAATTAAGCAGCGGTTTGCTGTCACACAAGGGTAGAACCTTTGAGTACGTCATACAGCTTATGAGCTGCATAGAAGGCCGAACGTTGCCACACTCATTAGCAAGATCAGCTCTGCAACGCTTATTGCGCAAAACTTTACTTTATATAGTCCAAATTACAAATCACGTCAACGTGTTACTTAAGACTCTTGTTTTCCCCTTCCAAAGACACATCAAACATGAGCGCATGAGCACATTAGCGTCCCAAGGTCCACAATTATCGCATTTATACACAGTCAAGTGTTACCTCTTTTTTATTTTATTTTTCGGCTATAAGAAGGAGTGGACATAATAATTTATCAAACCTCAAGAGTATTAATAAGAAGGCCCCATGAGCTATTCTTTCACTCTCACAAATAACCGATCACTCGTATTTCTCGAATTACCTTAAACAAATTTGCGAAAAGGAAGACATGGTCATTCTGAGTTGATTTCGCAAAACGAATAAGTTGAAACATTGTAGAGCAAAAAAGGACCATGGCTTAAATTTATCTAGAATGCTTTGTTTGTATGACCACGTGATGCCTGGCGGTCTTCTCGATGCTCGTCTAGGTTTTGTCTAGCTTCCGGACCATGCTCAAGCCCACTTGCATTGTTCTCCTCGAAATACGTGTACTCAACTCCACTTACTACTACCTCTATTCGGTGAGAAGTCGCGGAACACTACAGTTTTGATTCGAGTACAATGCAAATATTATGAGTGAAACTAGCCATAAACAGTTCATTGCGTACCTACCACAGTTAACTATGCGCAAAACATTAAAGAAGTTTCCAGGAATATCATTTATCCTGAAATCCTTAAGTAATCTTAATAAATATGAGCAATCCAGCGAACGCACAATATGTTACAAGGAAAAACCTGTATTTATAAACGCACTCTTTTAGATTTGCCTAACTAAATGTAAAACTTAATCAGACTGGTTTGCTTATCAAATACCGATAAAAAATTGAATCTAAAGTCTAGCAGTGCGATCCAGTTCTGATCTATTCTTAGACAATATATTGTGTTCGATTGTTTGTCTTCTCCAACACTTGATGTAGCGCAGAACACCTTGACCGCGCTGTTTACCAACCGCCCATTAGGAGTTTTAGCGGCGAGGAAAGGTTTCGAAGTCAACGTTTTTTAGCGTCGTATTCTATGGCAGCGACATACAACAAAGATGAGAATAACGTTGGTGAAATAGCAAATGATAAGGCGGAGCCATTTGGTCTAAACGAAAAGGACGATGCAGTATATGACCAGTATATGATCCCTAGTTTTGGGGTTGGACATTATAGTACCAGCAAACGAGATGATGTAATTGAATTGGACTAACTAGAAAATTTGAAGGGTAATCGGAGAAAGAACGCCTCTCATAGGCACATGGACGAAGTCGATCTGTATGTGTTAGAATGTACGAGGCAGAAACAGATTCCGATCGAGTACTACATCAAAAACATAAATAAGGCGTCCCTTACGTTTTCGTACAGCAATCTTGATCCCAAAAACTTCCAGCCCTTAGCGCTAAGTCTGGGAAGAAATCATTTTATCACCACTTTGGATATCAGTCACAATTTTTTAGGAGATGAAGTACGTTAGACCTTGTAATACCTCATAGGCATATGAACAGGGCGTCAATCAACTGTGTCAGGTCTTATCTGAAAACTCGAACTTTGTGGACCTTAGACTGGCGGACAATCAAATCACTAGTAAAATGGCTGAACAGTTCTTCGAAGTGCTCTCCTCAATGCCTGGTCTCCTTTCGCTTGATCTGAGTGAAAATTATCTTGACGATGCCTCTGCGATCTACATCGCTGATTTATTACTGGTTTACATTAAATTTTATCGTTACTCTCTTGTAACATAAATGAGTTTAACTTAGCTTTTGGGATAATACAGAAGTTAATAATTTGTATGTGGAAAGCTGGGACTGGATTTGCTGCTATTCTCAACTCTTTCAATCTGCAGAACTAATTCGCCATCCGAAGAATTCTTATCTGCAAACTAATTTTGATCTTAATTGTTTTAGGCTAGTCCTGCACTCCACAGTTTAAACCTTTCGAGGAATAGGTTTTCTGGTAACTCGACTTCCCACTTTGGCAAGGGGCTTGCAGACACCGACACTCTAAAAGAGTTAGACATAAGTTGGAATCACATTTGTTGCAGTGGGAAACCCATGAAACAGTTCGCACGCGGCCTGGCTGTATGTCCTCTAAGTGTTTTGAGTCGAGCACATTGTAGTTAAATTGTTGTAAATTGGGAATCTTCTTGTTGGTTATACCTGATGCAAGTTTCAGACTTCTTTCTATTAATTCTGATGGTACCTACTTGAGGCTGTGGGTAGTCCATCGCATCACTGCAGACGGTTATCTCTTGCGGTAGTATTAGAGAGCAAGCTCACATTGACATTTTTCTTAATACTTTGATAGGTATCGAAACTGGAAAAATTGAACTATTCGTTTAACCAAATAGGACCAACTCTCGGGTGCAGGGAACTTGTTCAAGGCCTAAAAAGTAATCGGTATTTGCAAGAACTTGATCTAAGGTACAAATTTTTGTTCATTTGCATTTTTTGGCCTTTGTACTAGTCCATATTCTGGTCTCAACTTGTTACGCCTGATCCACTTTTGCATCTTTAAATCCATGGCCTTGGTCCGGTTGAGTGGTTGTGCTCTACAGTCCTCACAATCACTCTGCGTAACCACTCATAGTCGATTTTAGCTATTATTTTACTTGTTGCTCCCTATGTGGCAATTTTTGTCGAAGATTTATCGCGTTCCCTAACTATGTAGTCCTTTCACGACGTCATGGGCATCGTTCAAAGTAATTTTCTCCACAAATACCAAATTTGGTGCCGTCAAATCATGTCTAACGTGTTGGTATGCTACGCCAAGTACGGGATTGCGCATCTTTGTGCACAGGCCAATTCGATCATTTAGAAGTATTGTAAATACACGCCAGAAAAGACTGAGAAAAGAAGTCTTACTCTTAAGTGGACTTATACAAGCTTTTTGCAACGTTTTCATTCCAATTTCAGTGACAATTTGATATCTCCCCAAGGATGTGTGATTTTAAGCAGAGCTCTTGCCGCCAATAAGCATTTAAACAAAATTAAAGTGAGTGACTTCGCCTTATTTGCTCTAAATTTGTAGCAAAGACTTCAACCTACTGATTACGGTCACAAGTAGTAGCAATTTGATTAAACTGCCAAAATCCCCCATGCTGTAATTTGCGAAATTGGCAACAAAATTGGGGGATATTACTCTAGGAGCTTGCCACTCTTTTCATCTAAGATTAGTTAGAAAAGATAAAGAAGCCATTAAACAAAGAGGCAGGATGGAAGGATTTAATAAAACTATAAATGAATAGAAGTATCTTTTTCGTTACATAACTTCTGATGTTCGTGACTTTTGCCCTCATTTCAGTTTGCAAGAAATCCATTCCAGAGTGCTGGTTGCTTTGCTCTACTCACAGGAGTTCTGAAAAATCGTGGCTCAAAGTTGATCGAGCTAAATTTCGAGGTACAATTCGCCTTTACTTCCATTCCTCCCACATTGAACTTCAAGGCATGTGGTCTATGACAGCCTGACACTTTGGCATTTATTAGTTATTAAGTTATAAGAACCCTGATCGCTGAGTCTTCCGTGTAATTATGTCTAATTTTAAAATTTGGTTGAGTGCTTATTTGGAGAGTTACAAGCTGCGGTCCTTAATTGTATTCCTCTTGAACACTAGGATATCGGTGTTAATGATGATTTCAAGATCCTTTTGGATAAGTCATTCAAGCTGCTTCCCAATTTACGCGTCATCTATGGCTCAAAACTAACAATCAAGGACCTAACCATCTACTCTCTGAAAATGTATGCCCCTGCAGCCGATTCACCGAAGAAGTGGCTGCTGACGATGCGTCAGCTTGAGAAGAGGATTAACCGTCCCATTTTGCCCTTCCTCATGGAGGCGGACATGGACAAGGACATGAAGCTGTCACGATGGGAAACCACGAAAGCACTTGAAGTTAGCCTCTCTTTGATACCTCTTAAATCCACTACTGTTAGTAATGAATAATGCATTGTGTGCCTTATTCGTCACCCTCATGGATGCATGTGCGAGGATTCAGCATACGCTTTGGCTGGGTGAGCTTGTTGTAGGTAGCACACAAGGTGGGTGCAGCGAGCGGCTGGTGTTTGTGGTATGCACACGAAAGCACCAAATTACTTCGGAGTTGCTGCCTTGTAATGTGTTCGGGTGCACCAACTACAGAGAAAGTTTCAATGCACAAACTTTTATTCGGTCCAATGCAGTTTCATGAAGCGTGAGTAGGCAATGGAGACAAAGCAGTTTTTGTGGACTGTTGATTTGTCTTGTCACATTTGCCTAGGTTTAACTTATAATGAGGTGCATACTACTAACAACTTAAAAGTCAACTGATTAGTTAGTCTCAGGTGCCTCAGTAACCATTGGCTACACACACATACACATCAACTCTAGAGGTGTTGCTTCGAGCTGAGGGTGTGACGAGAGTGCGTACTACGCAATGACTTTCACGTACACAAGAAATGTGAATGCATGTCGTGATTTCCCTCTTCACATGTAAAATCCTCTGTTACCAAAGTAATACAAAGGTGGTTAGTTTGGAAAAGCTACAAGAAAATAAATCGTCCTCCACAGTGTGAGTGCCGCTTTCCTCTTCACTCTGTGTTTCCTACCAATTTGGTGACTCTCAGCTGCCAATCGTATTTGACACCTCCAGTTGCGATGTTAAGATGGTCTGCCCAAGACACCCGTTAGACGCCTCCTTCAATGTGTTGATGTAATATTATTTGGCAAGAAACTCTCCCCCAAAAGTTCCCTTTGTAGGTGGTGCATTGAGAGCCTTCTACCTTAAGTCCACCATATGCAGAAAAGACGGCCCTACAAAGTATTAAGTCTCCTTTTATGGTCAGCTTTTTTTGCATTTGTTAAGTATGACAGCTTTATATTTTTTTTTTTTGCATTTTATGATCACACGTTGCCACTAAAACGAAATTAATCGTCAACCCCACGCTCCAGCTGTACTTCAGGGTACGTACATTTCATTTGTCCTGACATTCATCGCTCTCTTCTCGATGAACATTCTCATGAAATTTAGCCAATAAGTGTCTGAACTGAATGACAAGTAGCGTAATTAAGCCTCTTATTGCTCTTTCAATCATTCAATTACTTTCTTAGCCCTTGGCCATTGGATTAGCACCCGAGGAGTTGCAGGGACTGCTCAAAGAACTGGATCCGTATGAGGAGAATGAAGTGAAAATAAGGTGATAATGTAAAGACTAATTTGTACACCACTTAAGAGGTGAGAGGGACCTGTTCTGTGTCCGCTCCCGACCCTATGAACTTAGAATAGTAGATTGCAGTTACTCAAGCGTTCACTCACTCCATGATTTTGAGAACTTTGCGCTAGCAATGCGGAATAATGCATAAAGAAGACTGATAATACAAATCATGATGCAAGGGTCAAAAGAGGACTGATGGTGCTGAGCTACTTAACATGTAACATCTTCCACATCAAATTTGTGCGCCTTAAAGCGGATTACATTATCACCAACCTAAATGTACACCTTTTTTAAGAGCCTGGATAGAAAGGCGCATCTATACGAGGTTGCAAAATCTGTACGACTCTTTTTGAGCATGCGATGAATAATAGCTTTTAGTGAGGAATAGAGGAATTAACCGTGACCTGAAAGAGTTGCTCTTTCCTTGTTACGGACGTAAGTGCCACTTGGACTCGAACGCAAAAGGCTTCGACTAGAAGGCGGACGAGGCCTGGATTATCCTTTAGCACCAAACATGCAGTCGAAAACAGAAAAGATGCGCAAAAGGGATGGTCAAACAAAGCCTAAAAGTCAGCATTATAAGCGGTTACTTAACCATTGTATGGAGAGCAGTGTTGGGTGTGTATTTCCTCCTTCACGATTAGCAGCACCAAAATTTTCTGTATTCAGTGACTTCGTTGAAGATCCATCTCCTGACTTTGGACATCAAAAACAACCGAATGATGAGGAATCTGGAAGGCAGGCTCCAGCAGAACAGTATAAACACGAATCTGTACGTTTCCCTGGCATTGAGCCTATGAATTATGACAAAGCTTAGCAAAAAATAAGTGCTCCCGGTAAGGAAGCGCAAGTTTTCAATTCCAGTTCACATTTTGCATGCTCATATTGTCAAAGGTAGGGTTTGCATCTCTTCTAGAAGAAAGCTTTGGGCAAGGCATGACATGGTCACTTTTCAGAAGCAATCTCCATGTGCCTCTGGCGGGGCGTTTCTCCTTGCCTCATCCACAAAGGAGTGGAATAGGACCCACCTGCACCCCTCATACACATAATTCACTTTGTACTGACCGTGTGGCTACACAATACAATGCATCCAAATTAAAACCTAGTTACGCATCGCATGTTCTTCTGCATCATACCACTCTTGAGTAGTCGAAAACTCAAAAGGTTTAGAGTTAGTAAAATGTCGTAGCAATGTGTTAACGTTGCACACTAAATAATATTTTATATCCAAACAACATGAAGAGTCGCTTCGACAATCAGCATTCTGGGTGCTCCAAAACAGACCGCAGCTTTCGATTTTGCCTTCAAAGCATTGAGTTGAGTCAAATCCTAGGGCCAGCAATGCTATTTGAATACAAAGTATCCACTTGCTACGTAGCAATTTTGAGCTTTCCGAAATTCAAGAAACTTGCATTCGTGGGAAAGTGCTTGAGTGACGCTAATCATGGACTCTTATATCACTCAAGAAATAGTCGACGCCATGTTTAACAAATATTGGAAGCAACCTCAGACGTCTTTACTGTGTAAAAATTCTACTTAGCAGTCAATTTTGTAGGCAATAGCTTGCATATGTCGTCCCGAAGCGATTTAACGCAAGAAAGACCAGCAAGAGCGCTATATTTCCAGTTCCAAAATGCCGACGACCAGAGGTGCTTGTAGGTCATCGTGGACCACCGCTGTCAGCACATGGGAAGTTGCAAAGATGCTCTCGAGTCTATGGCGAGCAAGTGGAAGGTACAATTTTGCGCAGTAAACCAAATCAACTACCTCTGCAACGAACGGTGACAACGCAATATGAGGACGCATACGCTGAGTGGAATGAACGTGAACCGACTCCAAGCACGTAACTGAAGAGCAACCATTCCAATATCAAGTAAAGCTTGCCTTCACTCACGATTAATCTAAAAATAAACCAATTGCAGTAGCTACCGTGGAGATGAGACGAAAGAATTTACTAAAAAGACAAGACTCCAGGAGCCTAGAAACAATGACAAAGAACTACATACACCAAGAAAGTGGAAGATACTATTAGACGATTCCTCTTTGGTTCTGAAGATTCTACTGACGATTGAGAACTTTTTTCACAGTAGTTATAACGTTAGAGGCATGAGAGGTACATGCCGCCTCCAAGCAGCCAGCGTAGGGCATGGGAACATCAGCACCAGTCACGCGGTAGACAGGCGCATCCAGATGGAAAAAGACATCGCCTAAAGACGATAAACAAATTCAAATGGTTCCAGGTTTAAACAAAAGTCAAGTCGATGGAGGATGGTACTTACCCTCCATAATTCTAGCGCAGATCTCGGCACCAATACCACAGGATGGCCACGCACGATCAACTGTTACTAGGTGATGAGTCTTTTTCACAGAATTGAAGATGCATTCATCATCAAGGGGACGAAGACTACGGAGGTTAATCACTTCACAGTTAATGCCATCCTTAGCTAGCTGGTCAGCAGCCTCAAGACAGTCGCCAACGCTGATTGAGTAGGAAACGAGGGTGATATGACAACCTTCCCTTTCAATTTTGGCCTTGCCAAAGGGAATCAAGAAGTCAGGATGCATGGCTTCATCAGAGGTGTCCATAGCGACGCCATACATCAACTCATTCTCCAAAGAGACGACTAAATGTTGCATGAGAGAATCCCAAAACTACCCGCCGGAACACAAAATCTAATAAAAAAGTATAGCCTACCTGGATCATCATCACGAATGCCAGCCTTGGTAAGACCCCTAGCGTCCTCAGTGCTGTAAGGCGCAACAACTTTGAGGCCAGGGCAGGAAGCATACCAGGCAGCATAGTCTTGGCTGTGCTGGGCTGCCACACCAGCAGCTGCACCGTTGCCACCACGAAAGAGGATGGGCACGTTTACCTGCACCAAGAATAGGCGTAGATGATATGACACTACTGCACAACTTAAGCATACTATAAGACATTTAACGAACCCGTCCATTGGACATATAGTGGGTTTTCGCAGCAGAATTGATAATTTGGTCGATGGCTTGCATTGCAAAGTTGAAAGTCATGAATTCACAAACGGGTCGCGAGCCAGCCATTGCAGCGCCAACGGCAATCCCAGTGAAACCCATCTCGGATATGGGTGTATCTATCACTCGATCGTCACCAAAAGTCCTCCAGAGGTTTTTGGTAACCTAGGCCTAAGTTTGAGGAAGGAGAACTCACAAACCTTGTAGGCACCATCATACTGAGCGACCTCCTCACCCAGAATAAAAACATTCTTGTCTCTTTCAATTTCCTCCTTCAAGGCGCTGTTAATGGCCTCACGAACAGTCATTTTTTCGGCAAAAAGACTTTGTGAGGTGGACATTAACCGCCCACCCCTTAAGAAAAAACGGGCGAACTAAAAAATCACAACTAAAAAAAACCGACTACCTTTGAAACCGCAGCAGTGCCAGACAGCATCTACGTAACAATACCGTAAAAATGGCAGCGGCGCCACGAGACGAAAGATGGCTACAAGGTAATTGGACGCTTTTCATTAAAGTGCATTTAAATGCTAAGCTTTAGCCTCAGTCAAGTAACTCATTGACCATAATGCCTGCAAGGAATATTCCTCAAGCATCGTTTCATATGAAAATTAATTGCAAAAGATGTAGAAGGCTGCAGCAATACCAGCATACAAAGTTTTAATCAAGATCTTCTATAAGCAATTATTACATGCATTGTAATTTATAATTGTGAGATAGTGATTACAAGCAACTGTAAGAGATAACTTGTACTCTTGTTGAAAAACATCACATCTGTAGTAAAGTAAATAACATACGAAATAGAAAAACGTCAAATTATAAATTCGGTCACTTCGGCATTTATCTTGCTCCTGACTGGGGGGACCTACTTTTGTGTTATGCCAAATTTTTTGCTGAACATATGTATTCAACCTTGTTGTGAGTCTTGGGATGTTACAGAGGTAGCAGCGAATAGCGAATCCAACGTTGGTACTGTTTCCAGTTAGGCTTCTACCACTTCTGAAAAATTTCTGCAGCGTCTAAAGCGGAGATTTAATCCGAGCCGGGAGCAATTACCCAATGCCGTATTATTCAGGCAAGCTATAAACGCTGTGAGCAGTCTGATTAAATTTTTTTCCATGGGCTCTACCTTACCGCTTAACCTCTGTTCATATGGGACTGTGTTCAGCCACGTTTGCCATATCGTGCATTTGTTTTTGGTTGGGTTTAAGCTGTCTGATCGTGAAAACAAATAAAAGCCATTGTAAATTTTTCCCTTGAGTTCCCGCAATATGGCCGAATGATGCTGCCGAGAGAAGTAGAAACAGTATACCAGTCTTATGGTAGCTGATGTCTAGTTGATCTGACTCTTAGGCATTATCTTATTGGTCATGGGGTGTAGCGGGAATGGGAAGTAAGGTGTGGTACCGGCTGAGTGGGCTCGTTCGCAGACAATGCCAAGGCTCAGCCTCTTTCTATCCTCCCTGCTTCTATTTATTGGTAAGTCTCAGGAAGTAACAGTCACTGAAGCTTCCCAAGACCTTCCCTTAGTTATTTTGATTCGTTAAACTCGGTTAATTATATGGTTTCTGGGCAACTGCGTGGAACCGAGCTTTAACCATTTAGCAGCCTACTGAGATTTCCGTACGTGTTGTAAGGCATAATGAGTTTACTCAACAGAAAGGTGAAAAATTAGGGCTTTTGCTTGTACAGGATACTGGGACACTTTAAGCGCATAGATTAATTTGACGGGTGTAAGTAGTTAAAAGATAGAGATATTGCACGAAATGATTAATGGCATAACAAAATTTGTAATGTAGCTGGTGAAATTTAGCCAAACATCACAAGAAATTATCAGACCTTAGCTTAGTGTCCTGGTGAGCTGGCTTTGACCGTGGCCAGTTTAAGCTGCTCCCTTCATACTTTTCCGCAGCTAAGTTCGTTTCAAAAAATTATTGGCTAAGGATATCTTTGAAGTCAAATAATCATTAAGAAATGATGTGGAATTAGATTATGAGACGTTGTACCACTTCTAACGGCGTTACTGACCATTCGTGCAGAGAGAAGGAGACTTGAGTAAAGTTCCTATCTCTCAACTAACATTCTATTTTAAGAAATGCATGCATTGCGATTGTGTTTGTAATACTTTGGTTATATGATCACCTGACGTCTAATGACTACATTAAGATTCGTCTAGTCCTTGTAAGTATGGGATGATCTTCGGGCCAAGCTCAGGTCTAATCCCCTTGTTGTCCCTGGAATACATGCACTTAGTTCCATTTGGTTGGAAGTCTAGGGATGCTACAGTGCTTATCTTTAATTTGCTTTGCTACCATTTGTAACATGCGTAGTTTGGATACTCATAGTTCGCATAATCTATGCGGGTGTAGCGTCCCGAGACTTCCTAGTTGGTACACGAAGTCACTAAGACGACATGGCAAATGGGCCTCAGCATGGCCCGAAGGCCGGCCCACAAGGGCTAGACACATCCTAAAGTCACCGCCAAACGTTATGTGGTCCCAAAAACAAAGTATTACATCGGGGACCCAGGAGCCTCCTGTTTGTACAGATAGTCTTTAGAAGCAAAGTATAGCGGATTCATTTAAGCTTTTAATTCTCGGGGAAATAATTTGTCTCAATTTTTGGCCACTTGTTTGGTCGAAAGATTGTAAGGCTTTGTTTATGGTAACACATGAAGTTTGACGGTCACTTTAGGATTTGGGCCTGGGCATGGCCCATTTATCCTGTCGTCTTCGGAATACATGTACCTATGGGAAGCCTCGGGACGCTACATTGGTGGCAGCGGAAAGCGAATCCGACATTTTTTTAACGACGTTTGGGTATAAAGTGCTTTTGAAGACCTCCTGCTGCACCCGAGGTGGGGTCTCTATCTGCGGCTTGTTCTTCTTTGGTCGTTTGTTAAAAGCTGTCTTACTGACATCCTACGTTCGCATTGCTAAACTTGACTAGTTAATCGACTAGATTTCCGGAACAGAACAGTACGAACAAACCGACGAGCAACGGTTCGATCAGATGATGCACTGGTTCAATACATGCAGATAACCCAAAATCGGGTTCCCTTGGTCGGAAAGTCGAAACCCTTCCTTTCACGACAAGAAGGTTATAATCCTCCCAGCAGATGAAACTGCAAAGGAATTCTACTTTATAATGTTATGCACCGGCAATTATGAGCTATACATGCGTAGAAGGAATTCTGACTATCGAAGTGCAGTAGATGAAGATAAAGGCTAAAAGAGACTTGAGTTGAAGGCGGCGCATTTACCATGGTGACGGAGATTCCCTGAGTCCTTCACAACGAAAGAGTTGAGACTGAGGTCTGCATTCGATTTCACCTAATTTCCGTGTTCCACAGACAAGCTATTAACGACTGAAGCGACACCACCATGAACTATCTGGAAAACTTTCGTGTTGGGGTTTCCCATATAAAATTCGTGGTTAGGTGTCGAAAGTGACACTATGGTTCTCCTCGCATAGGGGACAGTAACATATATGTTTCAGACCAGAGTTCCACCGTCTATTACTGGAGGCAATTGATGGTTAACGGATGTATGTGGCCCCGAATCCGGTTATTCGACCAAAAGTAACTCCAGATCCGGTTGAAGTTGCCGAGGAGACCAGGTACGGTCCCTTAGTCTCATGCCATCTGTCGTCTGGTGCGATTGGGTCTTGGAGCCTCTTGTAGTACTGAATATGCTGTGATGGATGGCACGGGAGGACGCCGCTCGAAGGAAGAGAGGGGCACTGCACTGCTTTCTTTATGTGAATACATGAAGTTTGGTGGTAACTTAAGGACCATTGTACACGTGGGCTGGCCTTCGGGCCATGCCCAGGCCTATTTGTCCTGTCGTCTTCGGGATACATGTATTCACTCTCACTTATGCCTTCTTCCACCCTATGGGGAGCCTCGGGACGCTACAAAATGCAGTGAGATTCATCTATCTTCTGCATGCCCCTTACTTATTTGGCCCCTATGCTTTATATTACTGAGTAAGCGGCCTCAAGTTGCAATGTACATAGTCTTAAATTGATCAATTTATATTGCGTGTGTTACAGTAGGTTACGTCTGCAGATTAAATTTAGTGTTTTGTCATTATAGTAATGTTTAACGCTTTGTTGACCATATTTTAATTTTTGTGCAAAGGGTTTTTTAATCTTTAGCTGATTAAGACCAAGGAGGAATTAATTGTTACAATAATTTATTCTGAAGGTTATATCGAGTTCATTTAAACAACTGTACTAGTGAGTTAGGTGTGCTTTGATGGTCGATAGGTTTTGATGCTTATTAGATGTGGTTGTAAGTGTCCCGTTCCTTCTACTAATCTTCCATCTCCATGCAAACACCGGCTTTGTGTTTGGTTATATCCCGTTTTCTTCTTAAATGCTCCAAGTGCTCCTCTCGAACCTCTGAATCGCTGTGGTTGTGGTAGTATGTTGTTCAAGTCCTTTGCGTTTTCTTTAGTTTCGTAGTGCGTTTATTACAGTGTACTGCTGTCTCTGTTGATATATGCATTCACGGCTTTAAATTTGTTCATTTTTAAATATGAACTTTTTCGAACCTGTGTGGATATGTCGTTTTCGTTGTTCTGTGATTATGGAGCATTTGTTCGTGGTGGTTGGTTTTGCACAATCGATTGACTGCTTTATCCGAACGTTTTGTGTCTTTTTATCGCAAAGTCTCATAGTGGTACATTGTGTTCATGGCGGAACATAAGTTTTACCAAATTTTCTGATCGGCGGTTCTAACATTGTTAAAGATTAGTTGAGATGAAAGGGCAGAAATTGTCTATTTTATTTTCCCATTGGAGATATGTGACGCTTATAGCTATTGCGGTTTTTATCACATTTTCTGTGGTGGAACATGTTTTTATTGAGCTTGCTGACTTCATTGTTGAGGATGGTATTTAAATACTCTGTTTTACTGGGATGTAACTGGTTATGCAATTAATTCACGTATTTTGAATCTCAGTAACTACTCTCATACCATCATGAAGGTAGTGTACACTGCCATATACCAACTGGATGTCCTTTTGTGCCTATATGTCTCTTTATTTAGACACTTACTCACATACGAATCCCGAAATCTTCATGGTTAACTGAGCTGCCTTATTCAAAGGCTTCTTCAGGTAAGTATTCGTTCTTGGTTCCTGCTTAAGCCTTAGTACCAAAGGTTTAGTCACTAAGCATGCTGAATAGTGAATAGGCACTGAGATCTGACATTCAAAATGCCTATTTTGCGCTAAAGTTAATCGGTTACCTAGCAGTACCACACTAAGCGCTCATACAGGTTCGTGTGATTTATGGCTTTACTTTATAAACAAAAGCCACCTTTACTACTCGGTTCGCTGTTTCAGACATCCTGATTTGGCGCTATACAGCGCATTTCGAGTATCCATACTGGATGTCCAAGAGTGACCCTCGAACACCTCTCGAGTGCGATGGCTTTAGCACACCAGAGACAGAAGCAGCTTCAAAGAACATCAGCTCCCCTTACCGGAATTGTTACTGGTTCTGCACTTCTGATACAACGAGCTACCGTTCACTCTTATCTAGTCAAACTACAGGCGGTATTACCGGAATTCTATCCGCTTCCGTCGTTGCCTTTTGCAGCCAAATTTTCTGTTCAATATGTCTTTTCCTAGTAGTACCAATCAGTCTGACTCAGACCTCATCCCCACCTACACTGTCAGCATTATTGGTGACCCACGCTCTGGGAAGTCCTGCTTCTGTAATCGATTTGTCTATTCCCATCCTGACTGGTACCAAGAGGGTCACCCGTCAGTGCTTAGTGAGGCGGACTTTTGCAAGCCTGTTGTTAACTCCGACCACTGGTTATATTGGGGCACTGTTACGCGTCGTCTAGATGACGGGGCTAGTGTCCGTTTTTGTGTGATAGAGCAGACCGAATTTCTCAGTGATATTACCTCTCTCCCTTTCTCTTCCAAAAGCCTCTCCATCTCTTCCAATTCTTGCACCGCCTCGTACTCTTCTCATTCAGCCAACCCTATTACAGTCTCTGGACCCACGAACACCAGTAATTCAACCCCTATCCTATCCAAAGAGTTGCATTCGTCCGACCGCCTGCATAATTATATCCTGCGTTGTACTGCAACGAAAATTTGCTCTCCTGGAAAGTTGCGCTACTACTGCATCGACCAACTTGGACATCAAGAACGTTACAAGCAAGAGTGCTTCCCACATATGGGTCCTTTTGAGGTCCATGGGTTTCTAGTCATCTATGACGTGAGTCGACGTGCCTCTTGTCATGAGACACCCGACCTTCAGCAACAACAACTCTCTTTTTTGATTGATGTCCTCAGTTTAATCTCCAAACGCAAAAAACCTGTTGTCGTAGTCGCCGCGAAGCGAGACACCGTTGACGAACAATGCCTCTCCAGTGTGACTCAGTTCCTACAGAAGTCGGCGGATTTTCGGAAAATCCCCATTGTTGAAGCGTCGGCACACAGGAACATCAATGTTGAGCTGGCCTTCTTAACACTGGCTCGGCTGTTGGAGAACAGCGGAAATAGCAGCAAGTCGCGATCTTCAAAACTCAAACTGCTCTCTTATCAAGAAGCAACTAGGGAGCAGGACGAACATCAGAGGCGTTTGCGAGAGGCCTTTGTGAACAGGGTGTCATTGTCTCCAGCCGGCTTTCTTACCGACTGGCCCACTTTTCTTTCGCGATATAGTCATCAGGGTGATGTGGCGAGGTTCATTGATCTCTGGGGTTCAGAAGTGGCCAGGGAGACTTTTGAACAATTTACTGCGCAGCGGAAAACCGAAACAAAGCGGCGACACATGGCAAAACTGCCTGAGGCGCTCTCAACCATGCTGCTTTATGTTGGTCCAGTCACAAATAGGTGAGCTTTTCTGCTTATTAGGGTTAATTATAGGTGAATCTTAGTGTACATAGGTTCTCAGAAGTATTTGTAGCGAATATTCATACTTGAACTCATTGTTAACCAGCTTATTTATTTACACTCCTTTTTGGAGGATCTATTCATTGTGTTTTGTGCTCGACGGTTTGTTGACGTTTACTTTTAGGTCTCCTAATGAACTTCTTCGGCGTTTGCGTGCGCATTCCCATTTTGACCAATTTTTTGTAAGTGAGGAGATATCAGATGATAACTTGATTCAGCGTCCCAGCACACGCCGAAACCTTCAGGAGGATGATTCTAGAATCCCCTTCGCATTGGCGCTTAAAGAACCGCCAGATAACGGGGACTCACCTTTCATGGAGTCTCTAAAGTCACTCATCTTTGCTGAAGCCTGGGCCACTAATATGGCAGTCTTTGAGGAGGCCCTCTTACAGTGGCAGATCAACAGTAGTGCCAGTGGTTCTTTCGCTTCCATACTACCTGGCCAGTCATTTGATAGCGAACAGCTCTCTCACATCCAGCCTGGCTCTGTTCTCGGTCAGGAGGATCAGCTTGAGGTTTACCAAAAGTTTCAAGAGTGTCTTCGACTAAACACTCGCGAGGAATTCCTCGATCTGCTACTTGAAAGTCTTCCTCAGTTCATTCGTGCTGCCTCAGCCTACATGAATTGCATTGGAGATACCTTTTTTAAGATGGCGCCGTCACCCTTTCGTCAGGTTCAAGCTGCAACCGCATCGCAACCTCATTCCGAGCCAAACCGTAGCCGGCCGATCTCACCTGCCAGCGAGCCTCTCACCATCCCTCTTAGATCAGTACAGCTACCTCCTGCGGACATTCGACTGTGTGCGGTGCTTGCTCCACCTCGTGGGGCGAAGGAGCAACAGCTGGCGATGATAAAAAACTCTATCGCCTCGGATATCCGTTATCGCGCCATGGATTATATGCCAAGTGAACGTCAGACTTGCCTCACCAGTAATCTCGATATCCTCTTGCTTCGAGCTTCTCAGCCTGAAGCCTCGCCATTGCTATTACCATCAAGTACGATTTATCGGCATTATTCTTGTTCCTTCATGGATCAACAAGACCCACTTCAACTTACCTTTCCTCTGCCCCACTGTCCGGCTTATCAGACTGGTCGGTGCATGGATACGGTATTTGAGAGCCTATGCTCTGGTACAAGGTGGAGTGTGGGGGAGACACAGAATAGCTTTTCCAGCCATCTCTCCTGCGTTCTCGGACAGGGAGACAAGCGGTTGTGTGTAGCGGTGTGTGCAGTGTGCACGGACTTGGTGGCTGCCAACGCTGGAATCAATCTCTTTCGAGCTGCTGGGTTCGTACCTGAAGGTGCTACTAGTCCCAGTTTGCTTACATCCTCGCTCTTTCCCTCCTGCGTTACTCAGAACTTGGTCTCTTCGTGGCCCTTGGCTTCAACAATCCTTACACCGGTGGATACTTTGGTAGCCTCTGTCATAGGTGATTCTGCGATCTCTCCTGTCTTGGGTACTGTACAGGCATCATTTCTCTCGCATCATGAGGTGATTTAATGGTTTCTATGCGAGTTTATGCTATCTAAAATGTGCAGCTATGGTAGTTTTAAGTTTCCTCATCTTGAGATCATGACTATAGGGTGTTTATTCGGCTCTTCTTGCTCAGTCAATAAGCATATCATTCGCAAGATTTCGTCGTCAACCTCGGCTTTAATTGGCAATTGCAGTAATCGCTTTCTCAGTTTTCTGAACCTCTGAATAATCATAATTTTTCCTTGATGAGGATTCATTTCGGGAACTTTTTGGGCCTAATGGCTTAAACTTCAAATTTTCCCACATCCTTCTTCATCTCCAAAAGATAGCCAAATTAAACTCCATTTTGAGGTGAATGCATCTGCTTTCGCTTCACTTCTGGTAGTTCCTATTCAATTCCAATTCGCGACTCATTATTTAAGAATGATGAAATCACTTCATGATACTAATTCATGTGCAAATCGGACAAAACTGTGCATTCATCAGTCGTATCCTCATCAGTGGAAAGCTTGTTTGTTGATTTTTAAGCTGTTTCCGACGTATTACTACTTTCAAACTAATTGAAAGAGGATCATAGGACCAATTCGCAGATGCTAAGACTATGTGGTATATGCTTCGGGGAGTGACTCATTATATATTTTTAAATACTACTTGTTTGACTCACTCAAAATCAAAAAGGAAACTTCACTTCGAAAATCTGCTCTGCTACACCATCTGCAGACATTCATGTTTAATGTGTCGCTATTTCGGCACTAATATAATCGCAGTTCTAACTCCTGTAAATAGAGCCTAGGCTTCTAGGCGCTAACACGTGGGTGAGTGCTTGGGTCAGCAGTTGACGTTTGTGCATGTTTCGGGGCACATTGTTGAGGCAACTGGCTGTGAAATCGAAACTTTAATTTGGCAATTTGTAACTCAATTTCACTAAACTAACAAAGCATAACGAATTTGCATCTACTTCTTTTCCTTGTTCTTGTCGAATCCCGCAGAAAAGGTACTCGAATTACTTCACTGAGACTCCACCCAATCACATGGCTTACTTTCAAAATTTCATTTTTAAGAGTTTACTCTATTTGGTACCCCCAAGCTCTCTTCCACTGCCCTTCAGAGGATAGGATACTGGACCACAATAGTCCTAAACTTTGACATTCAAAGTCCTTAAGCTATTTTTTGTGTCCTATTTTTGAGACTTCACAATAGTACATTTGTCAGTGCTCACTTACAGGCTTTTTTATTGTCATTAATATTCAAATTTGCAGCTTTTAACTTTGGCCACCAATCCACGTCGATCGCCGGACGTCTTCGATGGTGTAGTACTCCTTCTTTCCATTGATGAAGGCATTTCCTCCACTTCCTGTGGTGCATTTCCCCCTTGCACTTGCGGGAAGGGTGCCGGAGCGACGTACTGCTGTAAATGTTATCGCGGCGCTTCTGACTGTTCCCATACCACTCCACGCCCTCGTAGTCTCTACTCTCGTGCGACTGCAATCAAAGCGCTTGCTGAACACCTCGCGCCCATGCCACACCTCATCATTTTAGCTATCAGTGGTAGCAGTACCATTGCCAGATTGGAAATCTGTCATGGAAGCGCAAGCTCACCAACTCTACTCCTCAACTCAACGGCTGGGTCTTCACCGCAAAGACCGATTACTGGCACTAGTTTGAGTGACTTTGTGGCTGAGGGCACGAAATATTCAACTGGTGAAGACGAAGCCGAAAACGATAACGTCAAGGGCACACCAATTCTTGGTGGAGTTTCTCGTTCAGGGACTAAACTTCGGCCTAACTTCGTGCTGGGTAAGTTGGATCAGTTGAATTCATTCGTTTTTTATTTTGTGGTTATGCCTCATTGCGCTGTCTAGAGGCAGGAAATTGTCATCTAAACGCTACACTTAGCAGTATTTTTCTTGTTCTAATAGCTTCCACCGCTTTTTCTACACGTTCTTTTTTAACTGAATGTTGATGGAACCATTGATAACCCTGGCAAGTAATTAGAATGGTGAAGTATTGCTTTGATATTCAAGATTTTTTCCCGCTTCGCCCATTCTCGATGATGTTGATTGCTCGCTGGCCCACCGATACTATCACTTCTTGCAGCTTTCGTTATCAAGAATGTATGGTCATACAAGAACACAGCATGTTTTAAAGAATTCAGTAGAGTATTACAACTGACTATACGAATTTACATTTAAACTTTAATTGAGCAAGGCCCTTTTTGTGAACTATAAACGCTGTCCTAACTTACTAATCTTTGCTACCAAGTTAGTAGCCGCCTTTTAAAGTCATTAGGTTACTTGAAGCCGATTTTTCTCCACCTGATAAGGCGAAAAGAATTTACAACGAATGGTTTTCAGAGTTGTATTGTCAAATTCACTTCATCAGCTTGTGAATTTTGGACTATTTCTTTTCCGCTGACGCTGCGTTTATTTCATGTGGGGAAGACCAACTAGCCGTCCATTCTTTTAGCCTTTGTTCTAAATGACACAATATTCGTTGTAAATAGATAACCACGTGAAACTGCACTCATTTCAAACGCGGAAGGAGATATATGCAATTCCATCTTCCCATTATTTAAATCTCTTCTATGTGCTTAGTGAAAAAGATGCGCGACTGCGTATAATGTCGCTTGTTATCGTTGTCGCTTTTGCGTACACATTGAAATGACTTCGGTAGTTCCTATGTCCGTATACAGTAAGTCGTACAGCCTTAGTTTTGTACAATTAATGGGCTTCTCTTGTAGTGGGGAAACAAGCTAGAGGGTATGGTTGTACAAGTAGATAAATTAGAGGGTATGCATGTCTGAGTTCGCCGCTCTCTATGTAGAAACAAGGCGATTCACTCTGACAGGCCTTCAATGATGCAGCAGCAAGTGTGGCCATATTCCTCACGAGAGGTATTTACTTCAGACATACTTCTTCGCGCTGTTATCAATTCAGCGACCATGAGGCTGTGTCTGTAAGTGGACTTATTAAAAAAAACTCAGTGATGAATTGCGGTAGGTTGAATAAACTGTTCATGGTATCAATGTCAATATTTAGTTACGAATGGTAGTTTGCTCGAGTAATGTCAATTAGCACCCAAGAGTCTCTTACAATGGCCTTATTTACCATGTTTGAGTATCTCTGAAGATTTTCGTTTTAGCCCTGACACGATCGTCCTTTTTTATTATCCGCCTTACCAGGTCATTTATAAGCAGGTCAGCAAACAAATGAAGAATTCATCCGTTTGTCAGGTTACCACTAACGCATTGTGTATTACGCGTCTCTTGACATAAATATGCCAGAAGTTTACCGTGATAAGTTGTGCACACTAGTCATACGTCATTCTCTGGTCGATTGAGCGTGAATTCTTGAGGGAATGTGAAAGGCAAGAAATGCAGTCGTAGTTTCATCAACTAAATAAATCACCACGATGGTCTTTTGAGAAGGTATGGATATCCCCATTGGTAGGAGGCTGCTGCTTTAATTAATTTGGCTTTCGCAAAGATTGATTTAACTTTTCGTCGGGATTTCCCTCCCGAATTTTCGCCTTTCATTAATTTTCACTGAAGCGGTAGCTGCAACCTTGCCGCAAACAAACAACCTAATGATATCCACATGTGGTTTTCCATACGCATTCGTTTCTTTGGGCTAAAATTGGTCCAAATAAAACTCCAATAGGTTACTAGGATGGTGCGTTTGCGTGGGTAGAAAGTTGTGACCATCGCAAACAAATAGCATTGATACTTTCATAAAATTTTTCGTTTTCTAACTGCCATGCCGTCAATTAGCTGTAGTGACAACCTGGTCGAGTTCAGTGAAGCTTGAAATACTGAAAGCAAACTTTGCCATGATGCATTTGTAGTTACCCTCTATATTTCTCCAGATGCTCTCTCGGACTTTCTCTCTGCTTGCTGGACACGCAAACTAGCCTCTAGTGAGGGTGGGCGTGGGTCATCCCGAAAGACCATCTCTCCGAAGACGCGGAACAATGACGAAAGCAGCTATGTCACCATTCAAGAGAGTCGCTTTCATCCCACGTCTTCTCCAGGTCGTCTTCACAGCCACCATCGTCGTTGTTGTCATCGGCACTATTATCACAATCGGCATCACTTCCACAGGCACCATCACCGTCATCACCACTATCACCACTTTCATCGATGTAGTCGACTGTCAACTTCAAATTCCTCTGGTGGTGAGGCTATTGCAACTTCAGGGACGTCATCTACTTTTTCGCTGTCAAGCTCGAACCATCATCCTCCGAAACTTACACTCACTCCAGTCCCCTCTGTACCCCCAAAGAGAAGGTATGGCCGCAGTAGCAGCCTACCACTTCCTTCTGGTGCTTCGCTGAAATACTCTCGTTTGTTTGGTCGAGGTTCCTTAGAGGCCTCGGGGCTGCGGTCGAGGTAAGCCATGGAAACCTACTGTATCGAAGTGTCAGCTGGTGGTAGATGTTCAGTTTTATTTTGGTGAAGAGGATTATCTACTTAGCAAGTGCATAATCTCGATTTTACTTTAGTGACCCGTCTTTACCATGCCCCCAGACAGATTTGTTTTCACTAGTGTATCACTCAAACGAGCAGCTATGTGTAACACAGAACTCAGCTATTATCTTCGGAAAATGTTCTCCTGTTAGGCTGATTTGAAATATCAGTTGCATTTCAATTTTATTAACAATGGTTTTTGCGTTACTTCGAAGTAGATGTCTGTTATTGTCGGTAACGTTACGTTAAACACTTTTTAAACATTCAGTATACGTGCGTGTGCCTGTCTTAATTTTTTTTCTTGTTTTGGTAACTACTGCTCCTTTCTAAATAAGCTAGGCATAATTATCCCCAAGATTCTGTGATGGGTCTAAAATCTTCGAGTTTTGGTTTAATTCTGTCCATTTTGACAATTTTGCGATTTCGAATCTGGTTTTGGAGTTGAAAGTGGGTGTACAAGAGCTGAAATTCAGGTTTTTTATCATATTTTGACATCTGCATTTTGGTAATGGTTTGAAACACCTAACGTTATACCACTTGATCATTTCAATAGTTTGTTAACGCCCACTATCCAAATAACTTCTTATTTTAGGTCTTTGTGCTATCGACAAAATTACTCGAATTTCGAAGCTCTCTCCTCAAAGCTAGATAGCTCATTCGTTTCCAGAGCCAACAACTTTGGTACAATTGCTGAGGGTGAGTTGTTTTTTTTTGTATTATGACACATTCTATCACTTTTGCCCTATCCAACGCGTAGTATTTCATCGACTGAACTTCCACCTTGCCTACTTTATGTTTTACTTTAAGACATTTGCTTAAACATTACTTATTTACTCACTACTGTCAAGTCACTACAGCCAAATCCTCCAATCGATTGAATCACCAACTGCATACGTTGACCTCCACCCTCGATCCTCTGACCGGATACTGTTCTTCCATCGCCTCCTCCTGTTCTCCTTGCCCTGTTGCTTCCTCGTTCCCCTCCTTAGCTCCCTTTGCGTACGATAAAGCCTCCTCAGCTTCCTCTCCAGAGCCAGCCTTCCTCAAGTTCTCCGAGGGTCTGTCGCCTCTTCCCCCTGATGACGTTGATCCTGTTACACCATTGCATATATTGCCGTTGATGGAGCGTTGGATGCGACGCAAGCAAAATGAGGCGTATTGGCTACATGAGCAACGTGAAAGGAAAGACGTAGAAGGGGAGGATAAATCGTGGAATAAAGAGATCTTCCATACCACTGACGATGCCCTTCAGTTTGGTGCTGTCTATCTTGTTCCCTGTCCGCACATCCACCGGTTTACAAGTAATCCACCACCGAACCCACAGGAGCAAACGGCTCTAAGCGTCTCTCATTCCTCCATGAGCAAACAACATCCCTTTGGAAAAAAGAGTAAGTTTCTGAAAGATGACTACAACTACTTTGGGAGTTCGCACTATTGCACTGCATTTTTCTACATATTTGCTGCTTTCCGAAATTTTTTTTTGTTTGCGAAACTGTGGCTAAGTTTAGTGCACGTTCAATGATTCCACGAATCGTGTTTCATTGTGAAACGATCCATTGTAGTGCAGTAAACTCGAAATATTTTTCATTGAAGAGTGCGGTAGTGATTGTATGCTTAATTAATATGCACACAACGTATTGGCGGCTCGAGAAATTCGGTTTTGGTGGAAAGGCCCTTCATTTGTAGCCAATGATCTTGGTACGCATTTATGAACTGGAATTGAAAGTTACCTGAATCATTCATGAATCAGTGGCGATATACGACTAAGTCGTCAATAAAATTGATTACGTAGGTGTGTTGAATGCGTTTACAAACACTAGCAAGTATTCAATCGTCAGAAGAGAAACTGATGCCTTAAAGTGTGTTGTTATCATAAAAATATTTTTTTTGTATTATCTAAAGCCTTTTTCCGTAGCCATTTGAATCAAACTACAAGCTTCTTCAATTTAACAAAGAATAAAGGGGCTCTATAGACGGTTCGGACAAAGGAGTCTGTTATGTTCAGTCGCATAGAGGATGATCGGGGCAACAACTTCAGAATTTGGCTTCTGAATTTTCTCATCCATTTCACATTATATCCATCCAACTGCCAATCATCGATTCCTTCAGCGCTATATATTGGTTGCATTAAGCTATCTGAATATTTTCTGATCTGTCGTTTGTCATCTAAATGTCATTGACAAATTAGCTGGCTGCTACTTTCCATGTCCGATGATCATAGGTTTAACAAATGGGTAACCATGTGCGTCTATTCATTGCTTGCCCATTGCAGGCCTTGATTTGGGATTGGCCAATAGAGGTGGTCCGAATTCACACCACCACGGCCACAACCATCAGCACCAGACGAATTCAGGAGGCTCTGCTTTCACAACGACATCAGCAACGTGTGGCGGTGTATCCTCCTTCCTCACTTCTGGTATCCGTGCTGTTACCAGCGGTTTTAGTCGTCCTCGCGAGCGCCGTCGCTCCATTAGTACGCCCTGTGGCGGTGAGGCCTTCACTTCTACTACTGCCGGCGGGATGATGGTGGTTGGCGGAGGTGTTGCCCCCGTCATATCGGCCTCCAACACACCATCTTCCTCCACACCTGGCTCTTCACGAGCTGCAGACTTGAGTCTAGCATGCATGCTGCCTGGGTATGAAGTAGAATTCTTTATCCTTCTCTTTCACAAATGCTGATAATTTGATTTGCTTTAGCTTCGTCAACTCAGGTAATACTAACGAATAGGGTTGGTGAATTCACTTCCATATTTCCCCACTGGTCGTCCATACTTGTTTTCCTAGTTTAGCTAGATGCTTAAAACTCTTGATTAATACAATTTTTCCGATGGCGTTTTGTAACCTCTTTTCCGCTTATTCCAACATTTCTATGTTATGTGTTGCGCGAGCATTTGTAAAGTAGATGTCTTTTCCAGTGTTTTCCTGCGTCATTCCCATTTTTGCTTTCTTTCATCACTGTCTCAATGAAGGGGTTGTTACACTTTATTCAGTGTAACTTTTCTTATTAATAAATTACTTTCTCGTCCTCATTTCCTGCCATTATTATTTTATCTCACTATGAATCAATCATAAGCAATGGACCACGTCTGATCAATTCCTCCCCTTTCCATACCACATAGCTCTTCATCTTTTCTATTGAATCTCTTTCCAGTTTTTTTCCCGTCTGAATGGTTTGATAAGACTGTCACTCAAACTTGCCTTCGTAACATGCATTTGACAGGACCTGTTAAAAGTGAGATGTTTTCACAATGCGTAGTGACTTATTGCTCTTATTTTAACTATTCTGTTGCTCTTACAAAGGGTTCGACTGGAGACGATGAGTGACTTTCTTTTCATAACTAGTCGTTGTTTAATCGTAGCACCTGTCGTACGTTTTCAGCTCAGAACCTCCTCTGCGCACAGGCATTGGCATTGGTGGTAGTTACGCTACAGAGACCACCTCGAAAGCCTCCACACCATCCTTTCCATTTGATGAAATCGATGGGCCGGGTGGGGATGGAGGTGGGAGATTGGCATCTAGCGGAGAATCCTTGCTGCCTCGTCTTTGGGTCTCCTCTCTGAACCAGTTAATGGAGTTGATGTCTACTGTCCGCCCTTCTGTTGGAGGAGGGGGGGAGGGGTCATCGACTGGCATAAAGAGGGGGGTGCTGACTCCTCAACCTCGTCATTGGCATCTTCCCTCTTGCCTCCATAGACTCTGTATCCCCCGGCAGAACCTCCCATCCCCATTACCACCATCCCTTTCATCCCTCCCCACATCTCGTCGGCATCCTACTAGTAACACAAATGCTTCTTCCACCAATCCACTTGAAGAACATTCGTCTTTCGTGAGTTTTGCAAAACTGACGATTAAGATGAGTTTAGATATGAGTATACCTGTGTGATTGCTTGTGTTGTAGATGCCCAGTTGTACCAGCCACTATCACTGCCAAACGGATGCGATAGCGGCTCCCCCACCGGGATCGCGTCACTTACCGGTGAATACAACGGAGCAGTCCTATTCCACCTCCCAACATCGAGTTCAACAACAGCAACGACACCAGTTGAGCACGGCATCGTTATCCAGTTTCCAAAGTAATCGCCGTTCTGTAGTTGACTTACCAACGTCGTCGGAATGTCTTGATGTTGGACAGGGTAGCTGCACCAACCCTCCAATCAGTAGTCGATCAACCACGTGCTTAGCCGCAGCAGCAGCTAGTGCAGCTTCTTCCCGTCTCTCACCTCCTCTCACGCTCGTTCCCTTCGGCAAATTCTCTACAGGAAGCTCTGGCATCTCTGGACGACGCAATCGGCGCAATGTTGTCTGTATTTTGCTTCAAAGTGCGCCTTCTATATTTGATTTCGCAACTTCTTCAACCTTTCCTCTTTGTAGTTGTCACTTTTTGGAGGGAAGACAAATGCCTTCTCAACAGAGCCACAGCAACAGCACAATAACATACATGCCTCCACATCAGTGAACGTGACCACAAGCAGCGGTGGAGCCTCGTTTCCCTCCACTCCGGTTCACGAGCCTTCCACTACCAGCGCCATCGCCGCCCCAGTTATGCTAGCCTTCGGTCATTTCAAGGCCAAATCTGCCACTCCACCTCTGCAAAACGCCGCGTCCTCTCCTCGCTCCTCTTCTATCACCAACACCTCCAATAGCAGTGGATGATGTTCGTATTTAGGCTTAATACCTTTTTATTCATAAAATACGTGGTGAATTGTGGGGAACGTGTCTATCTTTTATAACACTTCGAATTGGGCTTAGTACTTGTTACATCCGGTTGGAGTAATTAGCTATAAAGGCTTTGCATTCAATTGTACCTATTTCAAGAGTCGTGGATTCTGTTTAAAGAATGGACGCGCTTACTTTGGGGATTTGGAACACGAAATTTACTCCTATTAGTCGAATATATTGAGGTGATTTAAGAAACTTTGATTGCAATTAAATCACAGAACATCATGTTTTGATCAGAAACGCTTATTTTTTGCTTTTCTAAGGGGGTTGTCGGAAGTTAAGATAATCGTGAACCAAAATTGACATTCCGCATTTACCGCTTCGACAAGGGCAAAGCAGAGGAAGAACAACACCTCACATCCCACTCCCTTCAGATCAATTTTCTCCCTCGTCGTGTAGATGGAACATCAGATTCGCTGGCCCTCTTATTGCTTTCTCCCACAATTTGCCAATTCCCTCTAAAATGTCAATATTCTTCGTCTTCCTCCCATCTCTAGTTATAAAGCCTCAAAAGACTTGTATTCCACAGATTAATGCCCATACGTGGTGGCGTCTAATTAACGTTATTGTTATAGGAAAGGAGGGGGGATGATAGTTTTGGTGATCCTCCACTCTATGCGAGCCCCTATAGGTATTTGATGGGGCTCCATCGACTTGATATTGCTACTATCAATTGTCCCTCCCCTTCCTCTTACTTCACGGCTCTCTCTTCTCCTCTCTATATTAACTTTGCCGGAACAAATGATATTTTGAATAACGTTATTTTGCTGATGCGTTTTTGTGTCTCTTCTTTGCAAACATTCCCATCACCCTGAGGTATGTAGCAGTAACAGGTGTTGGACAACTAGGCAATCTTTGATTGATGGAGGTGTTTGAGGCAGGTTTGTTGTTGATCCTTCAAGTCTTTTTTGTGACCGGAGTCCAAACAAAGCTAAATGCAATCTCCTCTCCGCTTTGCAAGTTTCGCCGTGGTGCTTTTGGACAGATTTTAAGTGAGGCTCTTCTCTCTAAAGACCAGCTGAAGTATGGCGTTATGGTAAGTCAAGCCTAGTGGTAGTATTTGTGGGTCTTTTGGCAAGAAGTCCAGACAACTAATGTCATCGAATGAGAGGCATTATAGACTAGTGATGGTGAACCACCTGGGTTATACGCCAAGATGGTGGAGAAGAGGTCACTGAAGGTGTATCCCAGTGTATAGTCTGCTGTATACGGCGCATCCTTCACGTTTGAACAAGGCATGGAGATTCAAACTATTTGAGTGCAGATACAGGTGATCAACGGTAAACGAAATGTGGGAAATTTGGCAAAAGCATCGATATTCAATGGGGTTTTGAAAGAGAAATTGTAACAGAAATTAATCGTTTAAACGGACTGGAGACCTGACCACTCAGAATAGACCTGATGCTCGCCAAGCAGATTCCGAAGTTCTTATTTTCTTGTCAAGGCGAGTAGCGTTCGTGGATTTTTTGGAATTGGCAAAAGTTGCAGTAGAAAGCAAAAAGATATTACCAGTCATGCGGGAAGATTGGTGGGCTATGCAACATTCAGCCCTGGAGGAAGTGACCTGTTAGTCGAATAGAGTCCTGAGACTTTCCATTTGATAGGAGCAGACATCAAGTTGGGGAGGTTGAGATTTGGCTTGGCTAGGAGGTCATCGGTCAACACAACGTTTTCGGTGCTACAAGGAGACCCTCACCAGCTAGCCTCGCCAGACATCAGCTGTCAGGAGAATGAGGGAACCTGCTTGACCCTCCTAGCACCTCAAACCGCATCTGGAGTTATAATGGATCTGAAAGCAGGAACTTCTGCTGGCTTTTAATTGTGTCCACGACTAGACTGGTATGGAATAGATTCATGACAAGGAGCACGGGACGAAACACAGTCCCGTGGAAGTTTGCCGCAAAGAGTGGTAACAAAGTTGGGTTCAGTTTCTCCTGCCACCAGTGTAACGTCCTGAAACTTCCCATTAGGTGGAAGAAAGTGTTAAGCAGAACTGCATACGAGCATACTGGGCTTCGGCTTGATACGAAGGCGAGCCCACGCAAACAAGAGCAGTGCAAATATCAAAGTCCGTCAGTCGTGTAATTAAATGAATAAAGTATTAAATGGGATTTCGACCATGTCTATTCGACTACCTCTAGGTCTAGCAGTCGCTTTGGTGTTGATCCGTCGTTGGATTGCGTAGGATGCACCTCGGGCCAGGCTAAAGCCTTACGTCCTTCACTTCGCCCTAAATGCAAGCATTCAGCCAAGCCTAATGTCTTTGACTGCCGACTGGAAAGCCTCGGAACGTTGCATTGACAAACCACTGAAGAAATATCAGGGCACCTGTACATATACTTTTTTTTTTGAAACTAGCATGAAAGTTAGGGTTTTAGGTGCACACTTTGATGTATCAGTGGTTAACAATTTAGCAATAAATGATTTTAGTCTTCATAGGGGAATAAAAAGAGTTGTAAAAAGTATCGCCAATTGGGTCAGACTCATGCTTGACTTGACCTTCAGAAGTCTGTTTTCTTATTGACACACTATTTGGCATCAGGGTGCGAGATAGAGGTGGTAGTGGAAGAGGAGAAGGGAAGGAGGTATCTATTTCGGTCCAGGATTCGAATCACTTGACTCCTTCAGCATGGTGTTCAAAATGAATCCTTGCCTCCAACTTACAGAGCACATTATAAACAATTATTATATATTTGACGGCCCTGTTAAGGGTCTCTTCTGTGCGGTCTGATGACTTCGATTCCCCTAGTCGACTGATGAATGGGAGAGGTGCGTGTGCGAATCGCATGTTATTGGCTAAACACGCAACCCTGCATCCCAGACGAGGTGGACAGTGGACAAGGGAACTGGAAATTTGTTCCAGAGACGTTAAAATTGTCTTTGAGTTCTCGGTAAAAGAATCCACTTGTACGAGATCTCCTTGGTGTCTGTTATAGAACGTTATTTGTCTGAAATACGCCTTCTGCAAATACTTTGGTGCCGCATTAAACACTCTTAAGCCTTCCTTTAGCCGCTTCCTTGTTCGGTCGAGTGATGTTGGAGGGAAATAGCATTTTGCGACTCATGGACCTCATGAAAGGCGAGACGCCAATCGAGGTATCGGTAGTACGTCCTTACACGAAGAGAGTGCGGCCTACGTGCAGATCGAAATCTTTGAATTGTGCGCTTCTAGTTTTCACGAGCGTAGGATTCGCCCTTTCTACCCACCCGTTGTTAAGAGGATGCCTCAGTGTTACGTGCCTCTTGCGCATTCCAAAAGCGTAGCACGGTTCGGCGAGAAATCAGCTCTTAAAATTGAGATATTAAACATTTGGGGCAAATTCAGGTACATCATGTTGACAACTTCAGAGGTTGAACATCGTTGGCATCATGCGCCTTTGGAGGCTCTACTTCGGCTACCTCAGTGGAGAAGCCACTTTCATTCATGAGACTCTCATAGGCATCGACTGAAGAGGAGTGCTTGGGGTGCGATGACGCCTCTTAAAACTGACTCATGTAGCTCAAGTTTGACAAAAAGCACAACCATCAGAAGTCGGCAGGAGTCACCATTGTCTTTCTCTCACACCGTCTACCATCTTTTGTCCATGTGGTCCATTTGCTCGTGTAGCTCTGGTAGGACTGACTGTATTCGTGAGCCGAAGTGTTGAGGACTCACTGCATTGTGCTGGCACCATAGGAAATTGTCTTCCAGAGACATCTCTCACTACTTTCGGCTGTGGAATGTCCAAAGGGTGTTCTCAGCCTCTTCTGTGGAAGAGCCATATCATGGTCGATGCTTTGCGTGCTTCTCCTGGGATGCTTCGCAGACTCACGCAAAAACAGCGTACTCAGCATACGTCAACCTGCGTCCACAAAGAAGGCCTTGCGGCACTGGGCACCCGCATTGTCATGCACATTTCCATTTTCTGCACTGAGCGATGAAGTGGTACAGCTGAAGCTCCTCGTACCAGCATGACAGTGATCGGTCAAATCCATCATTGTCTTCAACCATATCAGGAAGCTATGAACTGTACCTGACCGTTGTATGAATGGGCAAAAGCTCACGTTTATTTGCGTTTTTCCGCCTTATTTTGTATTCAGTACGAAGTTGGTGTGAGTGATGACTTTTCCTCTCCCGTCTTGGGCCCTTTTGGGGGTATCCCGCCTCCAGTTTCATCACTTACGTCTGTGCTCATTACGAAGACTGGAGAGTTAAGCTCAAAGTTTTGTAGAGTTGGTACCACAGAGGCGCAGAGAGAGTGTTGCAGTTCTTTAAACACCACCGCGTGTTTAGTCTGCCACCACTAATCCTGTTTTGATTGTTTTTACCTTCATTACTGTAGTGAGCTGGCGATCATAAGAAAACGCTTGACGAAACTCCTGTAGCACTTTGCCAAACCAGGGAAGCTCCGAAGCCCCGTTTTGCTGGTTGGCATTGGTCATAGTTGCAATGGCTTTGCGCACAATTCGTGACTGCCATTCCATCGGCTCAGAATGTACAACCTGGAAAGGAGACCATAGTTTGCAGAGCACTGCATTTCTTTGGATTCAACGCCAATTCTGCTTCTAAAAAGCGGTTTATCAAAAGCTGTAGAGTTAAATTGTGCACTTAAACATTCTCTATTACAGGCAAATATGTCATCGAAGTAGTTAATGCAGTGCTTTGAGAAGGAACCAAACAACGCTGCCCGCTTCACTTGTTGCAAAGTAATTGGTGCCTTTCAGACTTTAAGCGGCATTGTATGAAACTCGTAAAGTCCGTTATGGACGAGCTGGCATCAACTTCCATGTAGAGAACCATTTGGGTTCCTGTGGAGCGTCTAGTGAATCCTTTATGCGGACCATCGGAAGCTCATCCTTCTTTGTCACTGCATTCGGTTGCCTGTAATCGATGCACGGCCCTATGACATCACGAAGCATCGCTATTATTTGACAATGAGCTTCTCCTTGAAGGAGAGGTGTGTGTCAACTTAAAACAGAGGTCACTTAAGCCGGTCCCGGTTAGGAGCACTGAGATGAACAGAAAACTGTAGACATCGTCTGTTAGTTTTCTCGGATAGGGAGACCAAGACCCTTGTGAATGTGCATTTCGAAATCTCGCAATCGCTTGAAACTTATGTGGAAATTTGATTTCTAGTATCACATCCTTAGCTAGCTTATCTCATATTAAGAATTTCACCCTCTATTACTTTCCTTTACTAAGGTTACTCGAATACCGGAAAACTCCTTTAATAGGGTCATCCTCAGATGTGCAGAACGGAATTTTTTGGGAATCTGAATCCCCTTATAGATCGCCTAGAAAGCCGGTGATCTAGTAAAGACGTAGCTGCCCGGAGTCTAGGGAGAAAGTACATTGAAGACCGTCCATTTTGCCAAGGACTTGCATAAATATATGAAAACTGTAGCGAAACAGGCAAGAGAATGAGAAATGGGATTACTCGATTTTTAGACGCCACATGGAGGAGTTTGCTGTTACCTAAAAGAATTTGACCATCTGTTGAGCTGAAGCTCTCAACATTTGGAGGATGTCACATCGATAAACTGACGGAACCTGTTTGTCCCCATAGGCATGAGTTGCTGCACAAGGGATTACATTTTGTGGGCTTCTTCCTGCCCAGTATATTAGTAATCTGTTTTCTTACATACGCTTTATTTTATCTAGGAAAACGGATTAGGGCGGAGCATGGGAGGAGTGGGGAAGACGATGCACATTACTCTGGTTCGAGCTATTTGACTCTTCGCGCATGGCATTCAAGTAAAACTTTATAAACCAGAGCCACAATGCATATTTAAATCAATCAATAAGTGTGTATTATAGCTCGCATTTAGTGAGAGTTGGTGCACCATCGCTTATTCACTGTTTGAAACTACCCCTAGCACTAAACTAATGAATATGCGGTAACATTCTGGGATCCAAGTTTGAAAACTAAGATTTGGCCATATATTAAATATACAAATGTGCTTTAGCTAATCTTATAGGGGAGAATCGGCTATTCAATTCATACACGATTTCCGTATTTGAACAACTTGAAGATCGATCCGCAGAGTAAGGTCGGATCTTAGGCTTATCTACACCCAGATCCCTTTCTACTCTGTGAAGGATGCCTGAAAACACTCCACAAACAGCCCTTCCATAAATCCAGAGATTTTAGAAGCCTTAAAGAAGACTAGAGCACTCCAAAGGCTTAATATAAAAAAATAACTAGATTTATGGTCATAGGAGCAGACTTTTATTTTTGCCTGCAGCATGCTAAGTTCTATTTGAGTTAACAATACTGATTTCGTCATAACAGAACCCCATTGTGCTTACATAGCGCATTCCTTCATAACAAAATAAATGCGTCACCAATCCTTAGTGATCACATCATTATAAAAATTATCATGCAGCATACGAAATATCTTTCATCTGTTGTTTATATAAATTGATAACAAGCGATTCCTGATGTTCCGCGAGAGTGGAATTTTGGTTATCACGGGGCGTGTGTTGGGGGGTAGGCTTGCGATTCTCATCTTCTTAATGCATTGCCTTGTTTATTTGTGGCAAAGTCTTCCCTACTGCGTTTCCAGCAAATCATAATAAACAAATATAGCTTAAAACTTAATCGTTTAAGCAGTTCGCAAAACATGGACCATGGGTCTCTTGGTTTCTTTGGTTTATTCCTATCCTTTTGTCTTTAGGTTGATGAGCCGGTATGGATGTCGCTCAAGCCCAGATCCGGACCATTCACGTGCCAGATGTTGTTGGCGAGGATTGCCAACGGAGGTTTCTTACTTTTCTAGAAAGGTATTATTAAATGATGTTGATTTAAGCAGCCGATCCTAGCTATAAAGATGGAGATGCTTTCAAATACGTTGAGAGTGCAAACGAACTTAAACAACTAGAGAGAAGCACTTTGTCAGTGTCTTTTGATGATCTTTTAATGTATGACAGCAGTTTGGCGTCTCTAGTCGAAGATGAGTACTACCGGTAAATGTTACATGAGATCCTCACTTCTAGGCTTTACCCATACCTCTGCACTGCCGTGAAAAACTTCATAAATGATCACGTACCGGACACATTGAATTCCGGCCGCGACTTTTATGTTTGCTTTACGGACATTACGACACTTCACAGGTTTGTTTGTCAATGAGGTTTAGCCATTCTTAGGCTACGCGAGCTTAACACCCATCAACTTGGTAAACTTGTGAAAATTCGAGCCCAGGTTGTTCGTTCGCATCCAGTTCATCCGGAACTGACTTTGGGTACCTTTAAGTGCGAGGATTGTGGTGCAGTAATCCGCAACGTCGAACAACAATTTAAGTACACACAACCGAGCATTTGCTGTAATCCTCAGTGCGCTAATCGTGTTAAGTTTGAATTATTAACAAACCAATCAAAATTCGTTGATTTCCAAAAAGTACGGGTGCAGGAGACACAAGCGGAAGTTTCCCGAGGAAGTATTCCACGAAGGTAAGTCTTTTCCCCTACATCCATTGCGCGTAGCATGGAAATTCTTCTCCGAGCTGATGCTGTTGAGCTTGCCCAGCCTGGTGATAGATGCGAGTTTATTGGCACTCTCATTGTTGTTCCAGACGTGAGTCAGCTCGCCACTCCTGGCAAGTTTCAACATTCATCTTTTTATCGGAACTCAGCTGTCTCATCTGAGTGTCTTACTGATCACAACAGGAACTCGGACACTGGAGCGCAGAGGAACGAGAACAATTGATGGTTTTGAGTCTGGTATCTCTGGCCTGAAGGACTTGGGTGTACGGGAACTTACCTACAGGATTGCCTTCTTCGCTTGCACCGTTATTCCTGCTCACGGCCGTGTAAGAATTTTATTTTCTAGTTGCATAGGCTATTATGATCCTCTACCTTAATAAACTCGTAACGCACAGTGCGCGGTGGAAATTCTAGTGAATGGATGCACTTTTGTTTTTTTCGAACTTTTCCACAGCCTTATTACTGTCGTTGCGCAAAAGCCCTGAAATGATATGATTTTAATGTCCCTCTGCCACCAGTACCTTCCATCCGATGACCTGGAATCTGTTGGTGGTGTTTCTTACGAGGCGTTGTCAAAGCGGTTGAGCGAACCGGAGCTGGATAAGATTTGCGCCATGAGCCAGGACAAGAACCTTTTCCAAAATCTTTATACCTCCCTCTTTCCAACCATACACGGCAGTGAAGAAGTCAAGAAAGGCCTCCTTCTTATGCTATTCGGCGGTGTGCCTAAAGTAAGTCACTATCCCATCGGCGCTTACGTTTACGTGTGCCTTGAACAAAGTTTCTAAATTATATGTTCAATAGTGGTGGTGCGGTTTCATTTTGAGCTATTTCTTGGGGAAATTTATTGCACATTTGCTATTTATAAAGACATGGTTAATGATTTCGATATACCTCATTTTGGAACCTGACGTATGAGTTTTGCTGCGTATGCCTGTGTGTGCTTAAACATTTGGGGATACCTATTTGAATCCTCAATAACTGAGACCACACCTTGGAATGCTTACTTAGTGTTTCGTTTCCTTTTGTTCTCCTGTTTGGACGAATTGTTCTGTAACTTTTGCATGAAAGCTATTTTCAGTTTTCTTAACCGGGCCTTTCGAACAATACCGTCAATTTTTTGGATGAGATAATCAGTTTTCTTTGGTTTATACGGGAGACCTAATTTGAGGCTTTTGAAGTAGAGTTGGTCTTGGTAACTCAATTATGAAATTTTGTAGGGAGCCTTCGAAGGTACTTTGTGGTAAAATTTGTGACTTTCTTCGCGTTGATTAAGATAGTCTTTTTCCAGGTGACGGAAGAAGGGACCCATCTTCGTGGAGACATTAGCGTTTGTCTGGTGGGTGATCCCTCAACTGCCAAATCCCAGTTTCTCAAGCAGGTGGAGCAGTTCTCTCCTCGCGCTGTCTACACCAGTGGGAAGGCCAGCTCCGCTGCCGGTCTCACAGCAGCGGTCGTACGTGACGAGGAATCCTTCGAATTTGTAATCGAAGCCGGTGCCCTCATGCTCGCTGACAATGTAGGGTCTTTGTGCAATATTTACAGCCTCTTTAGCCCCTCTTTGCTAAGCGATTAAGCGGCGTTAGAGGTCTTTTAGATTGCAGCATACTGTGTCCTTTGACATTGCAGGCTTACGTCCCTATTGCGACCATTGTTTACATCTGCGGGTTTTTTACGCGACAACAAGGTTATAAAATGGGATTTTTTATTTAATACTAGGCTGGCCATCTAATTCCTCATTACTTAGCTTTGTTTCCTGTTTGTATTACCATTATTGGCTTTCTACTTGTCATTCTAAACTTTTTTTGGGAACAAGGGTTCGTTATGAGTCTTGTTTTAAGTCCTGCGGTGAAACCAAAAGATCGCTTTGATAGTTGTCAATGAAGCTCAAGACTAGTGGTCATTACGTTGTTTTAGTCCGATAAAAATAGAGTTCAGTCGAATCTTATTTTTTGCGATATTTCGATTCTTTAATTTGTTTATGATTTGTAGTTGAATGTAAACAATGCAGGTGTAAATGCTGTATAGATTTTGATGTAATGAGTTGAGGTGTATGGTTTATTAAAAAATAACCTTAAAAGTTGTGGTTTGCTTCTCCTCTGTTCCCCTCCTACCCACCTCCTCCGGAATTTTGAGTATTAATCCGTGCCTTTGAGGACGTACGTCGCAAACCTTTCTCAGGACTAGGGCATATCACAGACATCGTTTTACAACCTTTTATCAATCCATATTCCATTACTTGCATGACTCAGTTATTACTCTCTGAAAGTTCCCTCTTCTATGTTTGTACTAAGTAAATTCGATTGTAATCACAATGGGTTATTTTTTGTGCTTTTTTTTGCTTCTCAGGGCGTCTGTTGTATAGATGAGTTTGACAAAATGGACGTGCGGGACCAGGTGGCCATCCACGAGGCCATGGAACAGCAGACCATATCCATCACTAAGGCTGGTGTCAAAGCCACTCTGAATGCACGCACCTCAATCTTGGCTGCGGCCAACCCTATCGGTGGTCGGTACGACCGTTCACGCTCCCTGCGTCAGAATATTGGAATGTCCGCGCCCGTTATGTCACGTTTCGATCTATTCTTTGTCCTCGTGGATGAGTGCAATGATGTGAACTTAAACACCTAACTCCATTGTAACTCAAGTCGATTGTGCTTCATAGTTTACTTTTCTTTGCAGGTTGTCGACTATGCCATAGCCAAATCAATTTTGGATTTGCACATGGGACACGAAACTCAAGTTTCTGCTTCCAAAATCTACAGTGCTGATGATATCCGCCGTTATATAGCTTTTGCTCGATGTTTTAAACCGAAGGTATTATTGTGGTATCTATTGTTATTTGCAATTCAGACCGGTTCTACACCCTCCTCCCTTCTTAGATCAGTATCGAGGCGATGCAATGCATGGTGGAGGAGTACAAAAAAATCCGTCAGCGAGACGCTTCTTCGGGCTCAAATTCGGCGTGGCGCATCACTGTACGCCAGTTAGAGAGTTTGGTTCGTCTTTCTGAGGCCATTGCCCGACTCCACTGTGCGGACATAGTAAGCATTTTCCCTTTCAAGCTTCTTTTCAACATTGAGTCCTCATCTTATGGAAGTTTGTGTTTGATTGTGCAGGTCACTGTGCCGTTTGTGCAGGAGGCCTTTGCTCTGCTTAATAAGTCCATCATTCGTGTGGAACAACCGGATATCAACTTAGAGGAGACGGAGCCGCACGTTGAGGTTCGGGCGGCCGGTGAGGCCACCCCAATGGAGGTTGACCAGGCGAGTTCCGAGCAGAACGTCGCCTGTATATTTCCGTTCTCTATAGTCTCTCAAAGCCTCTGCTCGATTTTGAACAAATTTATGTCACATATGTGCAATAACCGTTATTATTTATCACTATTATTATTATTATTATTTATCCTTATTGTTCAGATGGTAAATGATACAAATGAATGCGACTTTATTTATGCGCTAGCAACCTTCTTCCGAACTTATCGCTTTTGGCAACTAAACAATTGGTACTGTTTGTAACAGTTTGAATACCCACATTAAACTTGTTCATTCAGCCTCTGACACACCGCTTTGGTCGCCCTTTTTTTCGCAGCAAGGTGGGGATTACGACCTTTCTCGTGGCTGATCCGTTGATCTGTTCTTCTAAATGGTGTTGCCGTAAGAGAGTAGTATTTTAACAGGCAGAACGTGTGGTACATCATTGTTCATTAACTTTAATAACTTTTCTACATGCATGCTGTCAAGTTTGAGTTGAAGGACTTGATGTGCTGATATGCAGTTGCTGTCTTCTGCCTGAATTAATAGACGTCTGGTTTGCCTGATCGCTTAATTAACTCGACCACTCCTCCCACGTTTTGCTCACACACACGTACAAATAGTGGTTTGCAAGTTTTGTTTTGCTGATTTTAAGGCCATTTGGGCTACCATTGACCGTTGCCAAGTTTATGATTTACAATTTTGTGGGATTTAATCAGTTGCAAATTTTAAGGGTTATTTTTTCCCCTTTGAAAGTTAAAGTGTTTTGCTAATTAAAATGTTGAAAAGTAATGCGTAAACTGTTGCCTCCCTTCTCCTACGGTAGGCGGAGGAGGCTTCGACAGACCATCAGCAGCACCATCTGCGTGTGACCTACCAACAGTACCGACAAATAGCTGACTTGCTGATCCTACAGACACGACGCGTGGAAGAGTCGGGGGTTGCCATCACCTCAGAAACAACTTCTGGGGCCAATAATGAGCAGAACGCGATTCGCAAGAGCCAGTTAGTCAACTGGTACCTGGAAGAAGTTGCCGCCGGAAGCCTTCATTCAGAAGCCGAGTTAGTTGAGAGCAAACTCCTTGTGGAGCGCATTATTGAACGTCTGGTGACGAGGGTGAGAGTGCTGCTCTTTGTGCTTCACTGCCAAATCTTTTGGGATGATCCATTGTACACGCAGTTGGTATGATTTTTTGCATTTTTCAGGACAACGTGTTGATCGCTCTCTCTCGAAGTGGTCTTGACGCAGGAGAAAGTGATGAAGATCCTTATTTAGTCGTTCACCCCAACTACTCCACAGAATAGGCCTCCGTTTTTTCCTCGCCTTCTCCATTTTTGCTAGTGTAATTAAGCTTTTTAATACGTGGGCTTTGTATGAAGGGTGGCAAATCACTTTTCATGGTGAAGGTGCGTTTTTCACATGTCTATGTGTATACACTGGTGGTGGGACAACACAGGTAATTTTGCTTTTTAAATGTGCTCAATTTTGGTAGGCGCTGAAGTTGAATTACAAGAATGCGTTCAAAGCTAAGTCAGTTTTTGATCAAATAGTACTGCGAGTCAAGGGGGCATTGAATGGCGTCGCCTATGAAAGGGCAAAGGTGGATGGGGAATCGTAGTTAAATTACTTCAAGTTGCATGTGTACTTGGACATTGTTTGGGCTTGAGTTTGGATTTCGTGTTGTCGTGAGTGGCGGGTGTTTCGTATTTACACGCCTCGAAGGTTATCCGCTTTGCCAGAGTTGTCGTGCGTAAGTAGTGCAACCAACATAAGTTGTAAAGTCGGTTAAAGTTGGAGACAGTGCGCTCTGTCGCTGCGTTGTTTGGAGGGTTGTTTGGTTTCTAAACCGGGCTCAATGGGCACGGAGGTTGTTTTGTGGTCGTATGACACGGTGGAGATGTTTAAAAGATTGGGATTAGTTGAATCCTGTTAGCCATGTCAAGTGATGTACACCTGAATGCATTATAGGGGCTGGGATGTCATTGAGCAGTCTGAAATCTCGCATTCAGTATGCCGGGAGGTGGGTGGTAACTGACTGTCGGACAATTTGTTGTTTCTAGCGTGCAATTCGCGATTACTCGTAAACTGGTTACTAGCAAATCGACAATTACTGGGTACGAGATCGCATGGCTTGGCGACTGGATTTTCGAGACCCAAGACCCAAAATACTTTGTCAGTTGTATCCTACGGCATGAACACAGAACTCAGGTGGAGAAAGTGCTGTGGTGCTTTGGCTGGATGTCGGTTTTGGTTCCTGCCCCTAGAGTGGTCGGGTGGCCGGGCCTCTGGGCCATGTCAAAGGCTCCAACCTTCAGCCTTTTTACCAAATATGTTACATTTCATCTGCAAAGAAGTCTCAAAGCACTATAATTACGGCCGATTTGTTATTTGTGTCACGCACTAGAAAAATTTAATGTATTGTAACTTTAGGAAGGTAATTTTAGAAGTGCAGACAAAGGCAGTTTGGAGTCAGTTTATCAAATGCCGAAGCAGGCTGCGCTCTGCGTTGTAATAACGGGCGTACAGCATCGCCATTCTCCGCCGTACTTTTTTTCCGCCACATCGGAAGATTTAATAGGCCTTAGAATCAGAGCAAAACTCTTCTGGTGTAGTAAATCAGACCTTTAAAACTGATTGCCTTCAGTTATCCCTTGTGGTATTGTCTTGGTGGAACCATCCAGTCTTCTGGATAAACTCGAAATTCGGAAATCATCAACACTTCAAACACGTTGGGTTGTAGTTTTATTTTTTTGATGATAAAATTAAATCACTCGCCAGCTACGGTTGTTGTTGTCCATGGGCACATTGCAGCCTAGACGAAGAAATACCGAGGCATCGGTTTGCTGACTTTATTGCTTTCTTGCTAAAAACTCTCAAGAGACCTGCACAAACAAGTTAATATGGACCAATAAATTGTTTTTTAATAAAAATGATACAGAATGCATATTCTAGGTTAGCACATTTTTACTATTCCACTCTGGCAGAAACGGATTCACAAGGGAGTCATCAATTTTGTTCAGTGGTTATTGCGTGCAAAAAATTATAGCAGAAACTTTAGAACTTCATACTCTTTTGCTCTCCACCTTTTCAGGTCAACTTAGAAGGACGCTAAATTCAACTAAACACGATTAAAATGGTAACGTGAGAAGACCGAAGGTAAACCGTCGGAAACCTCTCATGAGAAACAGGCTTACAACTCTGTCCAGTCAACATTTTCCCCAACAACCCACCCATTGTTAACCCTTGGTGTTGCACTGTTTTTTTTTCAAAATTTATTACACATATCGTACATTAAAAAGTGAAGACTTGAGTGTGTAATATAGGACGGGTGGTCATAGTGAATGCCTTGTTGAGGTATTTTAAACAGAAAGAAGTACCGTGTCCAGGCCTGAGCCAACGGCTGACCGACCGACGTGTTTGCCACAGCCGTGCGCTCAGATGATTGGCCGGAGTTACAATAAGGACCCGATGGCGGCTATATAGGCATCACGTTTGATAAGCTCGAGGGAAAAATGTGGCTTCGTCTCCTAGTCTTCATCGTTCTCATTCATCTGGTTCCCACCGTGCCCTATCAGGTAGGTCCAATTGTGTTTGCATTTGTCCATCATCAAACCTAACCGCTTTACTAACCACCAGAAGTTCTTACTTATAAAATAATTTTTGCTACTGTGTGTTAGGTTTGAGGTTTTACGACAAAAAATGGGTTTTTGCTAATATAAAACGATATGATCTCATTTAAACGCCGTGATGCGGAACATACCGACGAAAAGAGAGGATGACTTCATCTTCTAGCGCCACTGAAGCTAAATTTGTTGGATTTGCTATTCATAGTGGACGTAACTTAGGACTAAGACGTGCCTTTAGGACGACAAGCAGGTCACCTATGCTATTACTCTGAATCACAGAATTTCATCCGTGCAAGATACTCGCAAGCGTATGATGACATGAGGATATTGCAAACGTCATATCTCTTCAGTTAAATGTTTAACACCTCCATTGGGGAGATTTGGTAAATCAAATTGTTCATTCTTTGTTAACACATGACTTGAATGCAAAGTAACGTTTTGGTACGTCTCCAGAGGGCATTAAGCGTTCAATATGTTCTCAACTAAAAGAAAATTGTGTTTTAGCTTGATTTGAAGAAAAATCAGATGGAAGAGGAGTGGATGGATGCTCTTCGAGGCGAGTCAAAAAGCCTGCCTTTGAACGGTGGAGCGCAGTGGCATCCTGAGTACCAAGCAAGACCTGCAAAAGAGCCGCATACGTCGGCAACTACCTTCCTAAAACGAATTCGTCGCATTTTAGCCGACTACTAATCACCCATTCATATGAATTTCAAGAATATGAAATAAATGAGTGCACCCACTCAGAAAAGTTGTTTTCTTCTTTGATTGGAGCGGTGAAAAGAAGGTTGATTTCACCAAAATTTAACGCATTTCCGCACAAGTCATGGTGATGTAAACTCAATAAAAGCCAATAACGAAAGGTCCCTCGGTGAATAAATCCGTATGCACTCCTGTAGCAGTATATTAACCAGAATTTGCAATTTTATTTAAAATAAATAGGTGTTGGGGAGAAAAGAATCCTGCGATGTCTCCCTTTCGTAGTTACTTGATTTGATAAACACGGTGTAAAAATATTACTACTTATAATTAAAAGTACAATTTATTTACGCATATATGAAGCAGAAAAAAATACAATGCAGGAATGGTTACTATTCAGGAACAGGGTGTTCTGTTGCGTCTTGCTTAGCTCGTGCTTCCCAGATGGTTCTGTTTTCTTGAAGTTGTTCCATCCACTTGAATTCTGTAAATGATAAAAGCGAGCGCAGTTAACAAAATTTGCATTTTTCTTGACGAGGAGTGTGGACCTTCCAAACTCTCCACCTATTCATTCAACCATCTAGCCCTGGTAAAGGACGCGAGAGCATTGTAAAAGACAAAAGAAACTTCTAGCGTATCTGATGGTAATAGTAAACGAAATTCACGCACGTTAAACAAAAGTTAATTCAAGTAGAGTCTGCAAACTTACCACCAGGGCATTGCACCTGGTTAACGTCTACTTTACTGGACAAAGCAGGGCTTTGTTGTTGGTTTTTTGCATCTTTGTAAATCCTTTCCAACATTTCCTTCAATAGTTGAAAGGTGGGCATCACAATGAAATTAATGAACCCTAAAACGCACAAACCGATTCTACAACTGTGCAGCAAGTAGCAGTAAATGGAAATGGTCTTTTTACTGAATCGGTTCCTGACTTCTATCCCCTAATGCTTGCATATCCAAATTTTTTTTTTGGTTTCTTTGGCATGTTTAGCTCTCATCCAGACCCTACCCATCGCCTAGTTTAATTCATTTAGAGCAAAGTGAAATAACTTGGATGGACTTTGTAGAATGGCTGATGTTGGAGCAACCTTACCGACTTGACTTTGGGGCACCATCGTCGTACGTCGATCACAGAGGGGGGAACAAGGGAGACCTAGAGCCACCTCGCGATCGCCCTAAAAAGTCGACTTTACCAAGAAAACTGTACACTTTTAAACAAGGGAATCACAACACTAAACATAAGTTTAGGGCAATTAGAAGGCAAGCAAGGTGTTGTAGATTTATTTGCATAAACGACTAGAACAATTGAGTGTGCCTTAAAACTGCATTAAAGTCGAGGCTATTTTTCTACCTGATTAAAGAATTCTTCTACAAGCATGTAGGTCCATTTTTCATGCAAATCCCAGCTCTTAGTTGGATGCGAAATGTCTGCTGCATGTAGGAGGAGCGAGAATGCTTTGGGTCTTTCAATTCTACCGAGAAAACAAACGAAATAATAAGACTTTCGATGCTTTAATTTCCTTCTCAAATTCCGACTTAGTGGTCATGAAATCTACGCACGGTTCGGGCAGTTTCAGAAGTTTAGTGACCATTTTGATTTGAGAAAAGTGCAGAGACATGTCTGTGTTGAGAACCATCTCGATCACAAGCTGTCGTATTTCCCTGAAAGCAGAAGACACATGCCAGTAGGTTAACAGAGAGATGGTGAGACAGATAACCCCGATGTGCTCACATACTGGAATTTGCTTCGAGGCACGTTGATGAAAATGTTGAAAGCGGGGAGTTGAGCAACGCGATAAGCCGCGCTGATGTGATGATTCTCCAAAACACCACGATCGTTGTACAACAGTGCTAATTGCGACCTGCAGGCAAGTAAAGAAACATTTCCACCATAATCGAGCTGTCTAACAAATCAACCTACCTTTCGGTACAGAATTTGCGCTACAAATTGATACACCGTATAAAATAAAAGGAGGAGACATTTCATTAGCGATATTACCTCACGTTTATTTGGTAGCCGTTAGTGGTTCCCGCGTGCTCGAAATCGTGAATCAACGCAGCGAACAGAATAGCAAATTTTTCCTCCTGCGTCATCAACTCCTAAAGCGCAAGAAAATCGGATAATGGCATGTTCTCATGTCTCACTCTAGAATTATGGTTTGGACTAACATTTTGGATGGTGAGGTGCAACGGCGCTTCCTCTAAATATAGGTCTACTCTTCACTAATAAAGGCATGACTTTGCAGAGGATGAAACAGTCGTGAACTGTCTACAAACCGTGTGTACGTAAAACGATATGTTGTCATGATTTTCGTCGCAAAGCCAAAGGCAGTCACAAAGACGACTCACGGTGAGACCCGAGCCCTCCATGATGGAATTGCATGTGTGCACGACATCAGCAGCGTGGATAAGATTGTGATAGGGGTTGCCGTACTTGCTGTAGCCGCGCTCAAGCTGCGAGAGAAAGGCTTCCAACACTCTGCAGGGAATCTGCAAACGCAAAGTGTAAAACTTTCACTCCACAGAGTCATGCACAACTTTCTCTTTCTGATCGCTGTCCACCTAATGCGCCCTTTTACAAGTTGACTATGAGTCTTCTGATATTCAAATTGTGAAAAGAAATTTGATGCAATAAAGAGGAGATTTTGTTAATAAGATTGTTGGTGGAATGCTTTGTTTATGTGACCAAATGACGTTTGGAGGTCACTTTAGATTTTGTCCAGCCCCTGTACACGTGGGCTGGCCTTCGCGCCATGCTCAGGCCCCATTTGCCCTGTCGTCTTCGGGATGCATGTATTCAACCTTACTTATGCCTTTTGCCATCCTATGGGCAGCCTCAGGACGCTACAGTTGGGAGCTAGAAATTCAACTTTTATCACTAAAATGACTTCGAAACTGACTCATGCTGACCAGTGACGCCAATGCGACAGAAAATTCAACCACTTTTACTTATGCCTCCGGTATTGCTAGGCGAAAATATTTTCTAAACGAGTCAGTTTGATAAACAGGTCAAAGTGGTATTCCTCACACTAACTTACATTAAAGATATCGCAAATTCGATGCCGCTGGAAGATTTTTACACCCATGTACGTTAGCACATGGCCCTCGATCAATGTGTTGAGGTGGAAAACATCAAAGCTCCAATCTTTCACCTTTTCCTGGAAGCACGAAACACTTAATGAGACAGATGAGTACATTGAAGGTGAAAAACACCCAAAATCGTGCTATCATTTTAGCCTATTCCACTGGAAGAAATAGTGTTACAAACTTATTGTGGTGCCTTGATTATGTGACTATCTGCATAAATTATGAGCACTTTGGTGTCGATCGTGCTGCTGCCTCGTGGTCTGGCCGCTGGCCTCCCTTCTACCTTTTCTGTCTCAATACACGTATTCAGTTTTGCCTAATGCCTTCTTCTTTTTTAAGGGAAATCTCGGGACGTTACATTTCTTGCTCTTCTCGACTTGACATGGGAGTCTAACGAGTTGAGGCAGCTCAGTGTGTCAGAGCATCCCGTATGTCAGCCTACCACGGAGTTGACTCTCCTCATTTGATTATTTAATCGACAGTAAAAAGTTTAAAAGTTTAAAAGCCTCAGTTGGATAAAACATAAGGTGTTTTTTCACAATTTTATGCGAGAAAGACACTTACACGAAACAGTTCGTTAGCCTCAGGTGATGGTTTTAGGCAAATGAACGCGCCTGTTCCAAAAAGCCTAAAGTCATTTTTAGGTAGACAAAAGTAAAAAACTGTATTTAATACCAGGAGAAATGAAATTCATCAATTTGCAGAAGAAATACGACATGGAAATAGCATAAAAAGACCATTTTAAGGCGGCAAATGTAATGCACGTTATGCGTTGTAATTGTCCTCATTGTGATGGAGGATCCTGCGGATCCTTCTTTGGAGCATATGGGAGACTTGCCCTAACCCCGCCCCAATCCCCCTGAATTTTATAGCAAATATCAAAAAAAGATTCCAGAACATGACGCCACTTATGGAGAAGGGAGTACACGAGCCTCAGGGTAAATCGAGGGTAGCACTGTGATACTTTGTTTATGTGACCACATGACTTTTTAGCGGTCACATTTGGGATCCAGCTGCACTTACTGACTTCCTGTATTGGCTAGGAAGTCCCGGAACGCTACAACCACAATAATTTTCATCGTTTGGCACGCCTTATATCGACATTTTCTGCCTGTTTTTATCATTTCGCTAAGACACTTAGTTGCTTTGCTAGCAAATCTAAAAGAATTAAATTGCTATCTGAACCACAATAACGTTGTGATAAAAAGAGTTAAAAATCACTTTTGCTTTCCCAAAGACGCAAAGTAATAATCCATCAAGTAAAAGAGATCATCACACGGCTATCAATTATGAAAGACGCATCTGTTGCGCCCCAGCTTACCTGCTTGTAATCATGAGCGTAAAAACCCTTCGCTCTTCCTTTGCGATCAAACCTCATCTTAGCTTAGTTGCTATGATAAAAAGGGAATATTCGCCGATCTCGGCTGTTACTATTGAGATATATGTCTCATAAAGACACCGAAGAGGTAAGAAAAATGGATTCAATATAGTAATAACAAGTTTGTTCAGCACCGTATTATAAAACCAAATAAGGGCAACAAGTAGGAAAACTTAACATGGGACTGCGTTTTCAATACGCCTATGAATTTTGCCTATTAATTTAACTGACATTGCGGTTACAATATTTTACTGCATCAAAAATTGGTGACACGAATGCATGTATCCAATGGCGACTTGCTAACCCATTGACAATAGGAGGGTACGTCAAACCTAGAAATGTTCCATTTTATATGGAACCATGTCAAAATGAGTTGAGAGAGGGAGTATGAAAAGACGGAGTAGGCGTGGGTACGCCGACTACATTCCGACATAAACGCCCATGCACTTAAATTGTATTTTGTTCTCTTTGAAACCGTTTGTGACAATTACAGACAAATGTTGATGCTTAAGTTTCAATACCATAGATAAGCCTGAAAGCTGTGTTCGTTTGCATATGTGGTACAAGATCGTTCCGCTCACAGCCCAAATAAAGGGGCTAAGAGATAATCTAAGTCTTTCATTTTACCCTACATTGCAAAAATTTTTGAATGTTACCAAATATAGGTCAGGAGTTCAAAACAAACCATCTACTTTACGTAGTTATTTGAATAACTAGGAGAAAAATGGTGGCTCTCTGTAGTCGATTGTCTATTCCCTCCTTCAATCTCCCAAATGCAACTCCTTTGCCCAAATGAACCGAATCGGTACTAACAGGGTACAAAATCACCTTCAATTTCCGGGGCGTTCGCATTTAGGCATTTAACTGTACCTACAAGGACTAATGGCAGATACATCTAGTAATGAAAAGAACGTTACTCTTTAGACTTATTTGGACTTCAATGTTTGTTTTTTGGTTGAAACAAAACTCAATGTAAATTATTCCTGTCTCTGTCTTATACCTGATAATTCGAAAATCCCAATTCATTCTGTTATTTGCCATTGAGTCCACCTCGCTCACATTATCGAAGACTGGAATTTTTGAAGAAGCCTTTACACATGGATGGTGCTTTGAAGTGCAACAACAAGACATGGTGGTAAAGATAGCTCTAAACACCAAGTCCAACAAGTCCATGACCAAACCACGCACGATCTGTTAGCTGTTTGAAATTCAAACTTAGAAGGTAAGCTAGCCCTGCAGAATGCCAAGGTGGATATTACTAAGTGGTCTAGCATTTACCATGTGATTTAAGTGAGTCAGTAAACTTGCAAAAATACGCAGCCGGATTATGAACACTTGCAAGCGGTACAAGTCGAATTGGGAATTCCAAGTCTTACACTGTCACAACGCACTGAGATCACCCTCATCCTACGGACATTCAATGGAAACTTTCCAGTCGTACCTTTTAACATAGAACAGATTTTTAATAAGTCATTAATGTTCACATGGACCAACACTTGGACCATCTGCGATCGTTCAATGTGCTGGAGTGATCCGATGTCCCCTTCAAGAATACTTTCAGCGTAGTCTGCCAAATTGCCGAGCTCCGCAAGAAGCGTCAATAGTGCTAAAAATGTACTCCAAATTGCCTCTAACTCGCCTTTAAGGAGGATGCAAGAGACTTCACCTGTGGAGTTTGATACGTGCCTTGATTTTGATGACAGCTTGCTTGAAAGTGAGGCGCGGTGCGTTACTGGTGTTGCGATGCCAAGTAGCTTGCTTTGTGAAGGTAGTCTCAAGCCAGGAGCGCACCATTTTGGAGACCATTGTAGAACGCATTTCACCCTCCTCTCCTTCTTCCCCTTTGCCTCCTCGGTTGTCTCCACTGTCTTCGAGGTCGAAGGAGTTTAAGAGCTCACTGAACTCGCTGTCATTGTCCAGAATCTCCCTACTCGATTTGAAAACCACATAAACAACGTTTTTGACAACATTTCAACTCCTTATCAAATACCACTCCTTTCATTGAGCCGATGCATTGGAAAAAGGAAGAGGAATGTGAACGATAATGGAATTTGGCTTACCGCTTTTGAGCAATGTAGAGATTGTGTATTGAGGTGCAAATCGAGTTCAAGGATTGAATGAGATCTTCCTTCGAGATGGTGTCGTTTTTGACTTGTTGCACCAATTGCTTTAGTCTAAGAAAGTCGACAAGTGGTAGTTGTAGTACCGAGAGAGAGAGCGAGAGAGAGAGGCTCCGATCCCTCAACAGAATGTTATCAAGTTTTTCAGTCAGTCTAAAAATAGCTACTGGTTAAGTGGTTTGCTCGTGCATTTTATGACAAGTTAATTTTACTTTCCTTTAATTGCTATGGCAACAAAAATGTCGCAGAGTACTTTATACAACCATGGAGTAAATTTGATATTAAGGAAATGGATAAACAAGTTGCAAATGTACCGCTCAGAGGCCTCTCCCGACACCATTAACGAACCGAAGTCGTCTTCACCCCTAAAACATTTGACGATAGAGCGGGTTAAATGCCAGCATGCTTAGGTGAGCATGGGAAGGCTCAGAAAACTCAAATGAATTGAATCATTCCTTTCTAGGAATAAACGATTTTTGAACTCGACCTCTACCTGATGCATTGCAAGACTTTCAGCATGGAAGTCATCATTTTTTGCACAAATTAGCTCACTTTTTACACCGCATTACGTTTTACCATTCCTCCAAGTCGGTTCTTTACTCACTTAGAGTCATAAACAATTTAAACGGTTCTAACGCATATTGGGTGTTTAGAATGTCCTTTGTAGGTGAGAGACGGAGGTTCAATTGGAAAGTCGTGTTTGAGGAGAGTGGGGATGACTCGCAGGGACCAAAGCAAGAAGCTCGTGCTCCCTACCTGCCCTCCCTGTCTGACATGGAAAACCTTGATGCACCTACTGAAGCCTCTCAAGCAAGACTTTCCTCTGAAGGACCCCAGAGGAGGGTTCTCCAGCCTAAAGTAGAGTTTACAAACGGAGCTTTTGTAATGTGTAAAGGAGGCTCATATTCATGCATTTATACTTTGAGCTCTCTGCTGGTGGTTATCAGCAGAGGGCTGAAGCATCTCGTCGGTAATCAAAAGTCGAAATGTGACGCAAACTCGTACTTGTGCGGCTTACATTGCCGACCAATGTCTTCCACCTGAAAGCGGAAAAAGAAAAGAAAGGGAAGCACCGTTTTTGAAAAAAAAAAAAAACAATTTCACATAGTTTTCACCTCGAGGTTGCAAATCAAATAGTTCAGGTGAGGAGTCAGAAATCGCCGTGCTTTTATTTACGCGTATAGGCAAGTGGACCGTTTAAAAGTGAGGCGATCGAGGCCAGAGTCCTTCACACAAGCGCAACAGCCTGGGCGGAACATGCTATGGTGTATAAAATCACTGTGGACACCTTTGTACAAAGATACACTTGACTGTAATAAAAGTGGAGAAGAGACATTTTCGATAGCTTAAGTGTTTTGGGCGTAGCTCCCAACTATGCATATTTTTAAATAGCATAACTGTCAAACGCTAGTGCCTAGTGTGAATGCAAAATGAGCTTCGATAAAGGCCACTTTGGAGTACACTTTCCAAAACAGTTGAAATTTGTATGCAAAGGTAATCAGTCGGGAGCGATGAGCCATCGGCAATGTTTTCTACTTCCCTAGCACTTCATTTTGTTTCCGCATTTGCATAATGAGAGTTGACACAAATAAGGCCAAAGATGAATGAGAATTTTGAACTTGATTTTCTCATTTTTAGTTGTGAGCTCGCCAATCAAACGCCTTTGCCATAAAATTGCCTCTTTATTCCTAAATATCCATTATTAAAACTGGGTAGTTTCGGGATTAAAAAAGTTGAAGATTTGTAAGGCAAAACTGATGCGATGGGTTTTGATTTTGCATCGGCGTTTTCCTCCTAAAACTAGTTATAATGCCTTGTTTGTTTGACTACCCACCATGGCTGGTGGGCACTCTGAACCTCACAAGATGGAAGGTCTCTGTCTGATAAGTTATTGGGAACTACGAAGTTGGGGTATTTAAGGCCTCGATTTCACCTAACTTGGAGCAAAGACAAACCAAACCAGATACGTACGATGGAGTTGTCACGCGCGGCCGTGCCGCCGTTGCCGAAGTAGGTTTCGATCCAGTGAATGAGCTGGAGAAGCACCAAGGCAAAGAGCACTTCCACCAGTGATGGAACGAGAGGCGGAAAGGTGGCCAGTTTTGTGCGCCAACACACAGGTAATCGGTTCCTACTCATGGGTAGTGCCACCTCGAGGCAGTCGCCGAGCAGGTGGCTTCTGATTGGCTGGCTGGACTTGAGGTGGAGATTATCAATGATCTGGCGAATGCGAGGCTGATGGGCACGAAGCAACCCCAACACCACCCCCGGCTTACATAATTGGTAACTGGTTGTCACGTTTAATTATTTTTTTTTCGACGGTTACATTTTTTGCGTTAAACCCTTGTTTTTTTTCCGTACGGTGGGCCAAAATTTTGTTAGTTAAAAAAATTTCCCATAGGACTGAGGCTGGGAAATTTAAGCCATTACAAACAACGTGATATGAAACACATTCCATTGGCCTTATCATGAGATCCTCTTCCTGTTTGACGGAGTGTGAGACAATAACATCCAGTTAGGCAGAAGGCTTGAATGCTCGTATTCAGGGAGCAGAGGATGAGATTCGGCTATGGCTTGGTTCGAAGCCAAGCCCACACGGCCTAGAGCAGGACGAACACTTAATTGATCACCAGCCATACTGATGTATCCTTTCCTATCAAAAGTGTTTTGGTGGCATTGAAACAAATGGGCCTCATTTGTTGATGAGAATCCTTCAAGTTGGCATAAGTTTTACAAAAACAAAAAAGTGTGAAGATTGATTGGATCGATTTCTACCAAAACCTTTAATTAGAAACGGTGATTTAAAGGGAATGCAAAATGCATTGTTGAAAAGGACGAATCGGCCGTAATGCATTGTTTATTCGACTATCTGTATGATTGGAGGACTTTGGTGACTATTCTTTCCTTGTTTGAGTGGGCTAGCCTTCGGGTCAAGCCGAAGCTCAATCTCCCAACCTTCACCTTGAATGCACGTATTCGGCTCTACTTTATGCCCCTACCCCCCTTATGGCAAACATCTGTGGCGCCGATGAAGGGTACACACCTTGGGTGGGAGACTCTCCCACTTTTCCACGAAAAAGGGTTGATACCAACGTCCGCATTTGGCATTCACTCCATTCTCGTGTTCCACAAGCGAGCTATTAACAGCTGAATTGACGATATCGCGAACTGTCTGGAAAACTTCCATGCCGGAGTTCTCCTCACTGTAAGTGGGAATGGAAGTGAGTGCTAACACGAGGGTGAACCCCCTTCCAATCGGGTCTGTTTGGTCCCGTGTTCCCTCTTACGAGTCCCACTTGAGGGTCAGCAGATGTGCTCTCCTCTGATTCTTCAGGTTGCTTTTTAACCCTGTTTGTTTGCAGTACCTTCCACTTAGTCCCTCTGTGCCTTTATTATGCACCCTTTTCCTAAACTGATTACATCTTCGGCACAAAGCGAGATCTTATGGCTCGCTACTAAACTTCCTCCAAGTTATGAAATAATTACGTTAACTTGATTCCAATCAGCGGCAAGCACTTTAGAGTAGTTTATGTTAAATCAGCTTAGGATTTGCAAAGTTCCTATGGGCTACATAATCGTCAAATAAATTGGAATTAAGTTAAAAGTCAAAACGACATTTAACAGGTTCAAAAGGTTTACAACCCATAAAATATGAGGCGAATGAGGAGATGGGAGAAGTCGAGTTTAGCGCAATAGCTAATCTCTCAAGTGCTTCACTCAACTTTGCAATAAGCCTCTCCCATTGAGAAGAAGGTGTATAATAAAGGCACAGAAGGACTAAGTGGAAGGTTCTGCAAACAAACGGAGTTAAAAGCCAAATTTTGAAGTACTTTCATTCATTTTTCCCATCGTTTGGATTGACCTTCGACGGAGCGAATGTTATGCGTGTGTTGCGGTTGGCAACTATCGTATATCTCCCCAACGGAAGGGTTGAGTATGATGCCCAGCTTCGGCATCTTCCCTGCTCTTGTTTTACACAAGCAAATTATTAGCAACGGAACCAACACCTGCCGCTAACGACATGGAGAAGCTCTATTTTTAGTTCTGTCCATTTTATTTTTCATTTAGATGCCGATAGTATGAAACTGCACAAATTGCAGTCTTATGGAACTGCGTCGAATCCCTTGCCTCCTTTTATGAATTCGTTGTTTTGACTAGTGCTCCTATGTCTGGCCATTGACACGTGTTTGTCAGCGGAATGTCCCGCCTCAAAATGTGTTTTAAAGTCGAGTACAACTTCATATCAATATTATACTGCCGAAGAGGAATCGTGACGTCGATGAGTTTTGCTAATTCGCACGTGTTTTGTTTCGGCATCACTAATGTTGCGATGGATGAAGTAATGTCTCAAAACTTCCCATTCGATAGCGCAACAAGTGAGTCTTAGCCGAATAATTGTGTTCAGAAGAAATGGGTGTCTAAGGCTATGACATGGTCAGCATCTGAGTATTAGCCATCTATGCAGGCGCTATGAAATTTCTGGTTTGACTACCAACTTCAAAGACAGACGCTTAGATGATAAATTTGCCTAAATTAGGCAAGCTACCTCCCAAGCCCTGCTTAAATATTTGCCTTATACCCAATTAGTATGCCTCCCGCCATCGATATTCAAGTCAATGACGCCCTGTAGTCAATACAAGTTTAAATATTTTGGAGGCGTACCAAGGTAGAGTGGTCGGAGCTCTTAGCGCTGGCAAAGTTACAGGAAGCTAAACGATTAAACAGTATTCGGAGGCCCAAAATTTGGCGATTCGGAATGCAAAACACCAATTATGTAGCCAAACTAGCTAATAACTTTTGGAACCAATTTGCTGGCGCATAATGCGATGTTTCAAGACTCCATTTGGTGGCATAAGTATTAAGTAGGTAGACTTTGGCTTGACCCGAGGTCCGAGCCACGCAGAGAGTAGAACAAAAACGAAAGCAAACACCAGCCATACATAAGGTAAAGCACATGACAGTCAGGATATGCTTTAGCGGCTCTGAAGTTATGAATTGCCTATGTTTAACCCCACATCTTTATCCTCTGCGTGACCAATTTAGTAAACAAAATTTTTAACCACAAAAATATTTTAAAAGCATTTAAGCTAAATTCGTTTTTTTTGAGGGCTAAATGTTGTTTGACTTTCTGCAACTGATAATGGCGAACAGTGTTAAAACCGCTCACTTTACGACGGGCTCGGGTTGCGGGATGTTTTGTGTGCTTCTGGTCGTACTTGGCCTCTCTACTGTGGTCATTGGAAATGTAAGCTGTCTGGCATATATTATAATTTAACACAGGGTTATGTAATTATAAGTTTGATTAAATGCAGCCATGCCAGGGTGACAGAGTTTGTTTGTTATAGTTTGAACTTGGCTATTTTTCATGAATGTTTGCCTCATTTTACGAGATACTGGTTGCTTTGTCGAGAAGTTAACGTATTTCGGTGTTTCTATCGGCAATTGTAGGGCAGATGTTATACTTTACAACCCCATATCAATGTATCTCCGTATCACCTCTGTGGCGTAATTTATTAACTACGTGAACATACTTAGATAGCATTTCCTCCACGGTGCTTTGACCCCTCTCCGGGATTGAGATCGCGTTTAAATCGCATTTGCGAGCAGTACTGTCGCCCTTATTTTGCGTTTGCCTGGTGTGGAAATTTGACAAAAACCCCATTTATCTCTGTCAAAAGCCTATGCTGGAACACGGATGCTCGATGAGGATTCATACTATTTTACTGAGAAATGGTATCTCCTCTTATGTAGGGTGGTCGATGAACGTGCATGAAAAATGATAAAGTTCTAAGTGTGTCGACAAGTCGTACAAGGGATAATGGGATTTCCTGTAACTAGGGTTTTCGAGCGATCCGCAGAGGAACTATGGTATTTATCTACTGGCGTCATAGTAATGCACGAGCTTCTCTGGGAGCAGGTGCTTTTGTTGTACTTGAGCGAAGAAGAGTAGTTGTTTTGGTGTGCATCGCTCTAGTCTTTGGTTTCACAGGGAAGATCGGCTGTGTGGTCCTGTGAAGTTGAGAACCCGCTACCATAAGTTGATGGGAGACGAACACCATTGACTTCGTGCACTGAAATGCCTTTTGCGCATTACAATCTGTCACTGCTTTCATACACAGTAGTGGCGGCTGGGTATCCATACTCAAGCGAAGTTATGAACATTATCTCGAGGGTTTGGGTGTGAGTAGCTGTAGTGAGCAAGCTTGCTCCCATAAATATTTCATGGCATAAAGTTATGAGAACGTTTTAGGGGCGGGTGACGGAATTTGATCAACCGCTGGTGAAGAAGTACTCGTTCAGCCTGTCAGTTCATTTCGTCAGCTGTTTCAAGGATGTGTTAAAGAGTTGAACAAGCTGAAATTATTGGTGCTAGGGATCGCGGTTGCTTTAAGGGATCGGTGGGTCTCATTCATTCTACACAAGATACCAAATGCCTTAACTGACAGTACGTCATGTCGTCGAGCTCGACTAGTAAGAGTTGTTGTCAGTGTCTCTCTATACAGTCCTGTGCACGTGAGTGCTACCGCCTCAAGGGTGGTACATGATATTTGTCGTTATTGGATCAACAATACTGTTAATCTCATTTGTCATCCTTTGTGAATAGTTGTGCAAGTACATGTTTAATGAAAGTAAGTCCGATTTTGAATTGGATCGAAGATGAGTAATGTCTCAGTACCAGTTTTTTTTCACATTGACAGTAATTAGCTTGTCTTATTATAATACCATACGTTAGTGAGTTACCGGTTCGTTGTGATTAAGTAGTGGAAGCAACGGTAGATTAGCTGTCTTGACCTCCCAGCGACAGGCCACAGAATTCAATAATAACAGCGGAAGCATAGCCTTCTTGGTGCTCCCTTCCCATGCCATGCCAGAGGTGCGGGGTCTATACATAGGTATTTATATCAATGTGTGGGAAAAACAACTGTCAGTTTTGCATTGGCTAAAGCGCTTGAACTACTCAATTGTCTAACGATGCTCATATCGCATGTTTGATTGTGATGCCTTATCCCTATGACCATGAGGCGGAGTCTGCGTTGTTCAGCACTACAAACTTTGCATTCTATTCCTTAACTATTATGCCATCACAGTCATGCTGCTTTCGTCTTCATTATTTTTATTCAGAAATCCATCGTTCCCATCACACTCCGGCTGAATGATACCAGGACCAACACCTCATTTTACCTATGCGCATATAGCTACGGGGGAGTCGTGCCTCGACATCGGTTTTCATCGGTATGTTGTTTATCTATAATCAATTCGGCATTTTCTACACAAAAGCTATGATTTTTCCTTCGTTTTTGATAAGTCGATCGTCATCGATGTGCGTGACTTGTTGGAAGAGAATTCGACTACGACAAACATTGCCAGAGAAGTTAAAAATAGAATGAAATATGTACGAAGTCGTTTTCCTTTGGCGTTTAGAAATGCCAAAAATTTTTCTCTACTTACGCTGGAGGATAAAACAGGCACGTACGAACTCGCTGAGGTAGTTAACTTCAGCGTTATTTTGGCGGCTACCGAGAAACTCACCGCCAGGATGGTCGAACCCAGTTTGCATTTGTTGAATCGTGTCTTCTTCGTACCAGTTGACGCCGTGAAGAATCTCCTTGTTGGGGTAAATTTGCCTTTTTGAAGTTTATTAAAGTGCAACTAAATTTTTGACCATGTAACGCCTCCACATTTTGATGATTCTAAGTGTTCTGTGAAAGCCCACGTTCAAATCATCTAGCTATTTATCATCCTTTCGGCGTGGGCCGACTATTATTGCTGTTATAATAATAACGGTTGGCAAAGCTCTGGCTTTTCATTTTCTATTATCCATAGTCTACAATTCTAACATGCTCTTCTTGAACTGTTTTGCTTTTCGTCAGCTGAAGTCCGATTCTTCTTCAGGGCTGGTGCTGGACTTTGTTGAGCCCTCGCCGGTCGGGGTGGGCTATGAAATCTTAGCCTTTATTGTCCTTAAAATGCTGAGCCTCACCAGTATCGTAGTCGCTGGACTACTCGTTATTAGGAACCATGAAGAGCTGTGAGTTATTCTCCTTTCTCAGATTTTGCTTGGCAAAACACTAAAGCATAGCAGTTGATAGAGTAAAACTAAAATTCTACAATCATCAAGAGTTTCGAAGTTTCATTTATATCCTTTTTGGTGTTTTTTTTTTGAAAAATGCAGTCTTTATTGTCAATGTTCTATTTTAAGATTAATTCTCTGTACTGTTTTCCATGCAAATCGCAAGCTATTTGTAGGCTTGGGGAGACATCACAGTAAACAATGCCATTTCGCCCTTTTCGAATTGCATTTACTTCGTTCTGCTTCATCCCATTTTAATAGAATGGCTTTATTAAGCGAAGGCAATGTTGCACTTTTAGCATCGCATTGGCGCACAAAATGCGCCCTGATAAGTCGGCTCATCCGTTTCTGAGGATTCTTGTTCCGGGTCTTCTTCTACTTTCCAGCGTAACTGTTATTCTTTTGGCCTACTTTTTCTATGACGTCATGGGTGGGTTCAATTGCTGTTTAGCCCTTGAGCTACCTTTAGACTTTACTAAACTACTTTATTTGGCATTTAGAGGGGAAATTCACCCTCATGCAAACTCATTTTTGCTTTAGATGCCATTTCTGTTTCATGTGTGTAAAGTGTAAAGTGACCACTGTGCTGATTGCGCTGTTCCTTTTCTCAATCTAAAAGTTCTTTCTTACTCCCTTCAAAATAGTTTACTTTTTCATCGCCGTGTTTGTCATTGCTGGTGCTTCTGCTATGTCCTACGTAATATCTACGCTCTTCTTCATGAAAGCACCGGTTCTGTAAGTCATCCATTGACGTCATTCAAAGTTGTGCATTACTCAGTCTTGAATCCTCACAGCTTGGTAATGTTCAATTTTCTTGCTCCTGGGGTGACGTGAAAGCTTTTGCATTCGTCTGAGACGTCGACTCAGAGGCCAGGGCCATCATATGGCGATTTTTTGAGACATTTTTCTTTCCAAAAAGTCCGGTAGACTAAAACAATTGGAGAAAGGTTTAAGAAGTCAACGGGGCACTCTTACTTGTTGGTACTAATTTTTTACATTCCTCAAATCCAGTAATGGCTTGTGATACGCCTATAAAACAGGCATCTTACCAACATTGTGTCAGCCATACCAAAAGGAACAGGATGAATAGGTGTCATGCCGTAAAAGGTACTTCTATACTATCACCTGCCTGGTTGTTAATCATCTTGGTTTCTCTTGCAGAAAGCGCATCGTACTTAGAATATATAAGCTGGATGTAAATCTCGTCCGCTGTGTCCTCTTCCTCATTAGCCTCGCCTTCACTACCACGTGGTGTGTGTTTCGAAACAACTATTCGTGAGTTTATTCGTATCTTCACTTTTCATTTCCTTGGCGTTTTCTCTGTGGCTTGGCTCAGTAGTACCTTATCAGTACCGTTTGTGGCCCGCTTCCTTCGGTGCATTTTCGCGCTCTTTTCCTCACCAAATCCTAATCATCGATAGAAATTTTAGCCATCCATGTTTTTCTAATTGTAATAAAAACCTCCTGCACATTCCTCTCATCATGTTTTGTAACACAAACCTATGTAACACGCACCTTTTCCTCTCTAGTGTGGGATGGATAATGCAAGACATAATAGGTGTCTTTCTGGTCATTCAAGTTCTCGTCGACATTTCCATCCTCCTCTCCTTCAAGGTAAGCCTTATTTTTAACAAGGACCATTACAATTGTAAGCTCTTCCATTTTATTTGTTTAACATTTTTAAACTTTAGGCGTGCTATATCGGCTTCGCTATCTTCGTGCTATATGATGTCTTCTTCGTCTTCATAACTCCATTCCTTGTTCGCGTATGTTTGTGCATGTTTTTTTGCGACGCGACGGGTTTATTAAAGTCTTCGCTTATCGTAGAATAATCGCAGCCTGGAGCTCCATCAACCCTCACAATGGCTTAGCGCCTATTTTAGAGGCATAAATGTACCTACGTTTTGTTTTGTTTTTTTTCCGCGTGATTCACGAACAGTATTCGCGTGACAGTTGATTGCTCTTTGATGTTCTTTTGCTTGATTCTGTGATACCTTAATGCGATTTGTATTCAGTCACGCGCTTAACAACAGTTGTGAGGTTTATTACTTGCTACTTTCGCCAGCTTTTGAGACTCTCTACTATTAACATCGCCATACTTTGCTTCTTTAGCCGTCCCAAAATGTTTTTTTATGGTATCTTTTGCTAGCGGAGGAAATGATTTTGCTTTCACTGTGAACACTGACCATTTTGTGTACTGTTGCGAATCTTCTGGCCTTACTAGACGTACACATTGGGACAGCTGTGATGCTCCAACAGATTCCATACCACTTGAAAGTGTAAGTGTTTTGAGCAGGCCTCAACTCCCTCTCTCACCACCACTAACCAGTTCAGCCTAATCCCCTTTAAAGTGAAATTTGTTATGGCGGAACTCACAAGCGTCTACAATGACGGTCATACCTTCAGTGGATGTGAGCTTCATCCATGGCTTGAGGCCTTAGCATCTTCCTGTTCTGCCTGAAGTGGTTTCTAAATTTTAAAAGGTGAAGTCACTTTTTTGCAGTTTAAGCATTACTTAAAGATGAGGAGGAAATTGCTAGGACCGAGAATATGTACGGTGTGTTCTACGCGTAGTTACTCAGATGTGTAAAGTTGAACTCCAAACTCCAATGATTCATGACTGGCCGTGTAGGTATGTGGTCGTAAATGAGTAACCTGGAGGGTCAGATTTTTAGAGGCGGAAGTTGTGCTGCATTCCGGCTAAATGCGGTGCATGGCATTGTCTTACTTGCGACACCTGCCGATGCGTGGGCTGCGAGGTTGGCATTTTTTACAAAAAATTTGTGCTAACCTTACTTGCTGTTTGACGTTGCGACTAATGTTTCCTATGTCTTGACGGACGCCCCCGCTCCTTTCTGCCTCCTTGCCCCTCCCCCTCCCCCATTGCGAGCACTCCTGTGACGCTCCAAGGCGTTCCACCCCTGCAGATGATTTGAAGTGTGGAGGCCCATCAGCTATGACTCACCAGACAGTAACACGGCTACCTGGTCACCCTATTGGGCGTATTACCTACCCCTAACAGTTGTAACATTAGGAACTGCCTATTTCGTATTTATTTAGTAAGGCTTATTCTCAAAGTAAACACTTCAAAAGCATAATATTAATCATGTAAACGAACGAGGTTTGTATCTTGGTCACTTTAATCATCATAGAATGGTACCGCATTTAGTCTACGAGGTGTGTTTGTGTGTAGATGCATCCACAACTGACGTTGATTTCAATGAAGAAAGTAGGCGTAAGAGTTTTGGGTTCAAAAGACTGCTATTTATACGACAGTCTAGATAGATGTGTTTGTAATGATATTTTCTAGCCGTCGGGAATGACGGAGGTAAAGGCGTCAGGATCTAATGCTCACGAATCGTTATCGCGTGACCGTCGAAGCATCGCGGCGCCTGGCGACAGCATTATGGAGGCTGTAGCTACGGGCTCTGCGGGTACTTCGGGTGAATTAATGCCTCTGGTTTTCAAGGTTTTCGTCGCCGCCATTACCAGTCAGTGCGGTGTGTGCCAGAGCGGTCGTGACCACGTACTCCTGGGCTTCGGAGATGCTGTACTTCCCGGTACATTTGTCCTCCCCCTACTCCCACTTAAATTCATCATTATGAGTGTAACTTGGCTTGCGCTTTAGGCTTTTTTTTTTCATTTATCCTGTTCTTGTGCAGGTAAATGCCACTGGAGTAGCGTTTTTAAAATACAAGTAACGTAGACAATTAAGAGGGCAGATGATTCATTACTTGAATCAGCTTAGAGCTGCATTTTCGCCTGTCATTTCACCGTCGATGTTTTTACGGCTTCTTTTTTTGCGTAGAGTATTTGCAGAACGTTGTACTATCCTTTCTGGCTACTTGTCTTACTTTTGCGTCTAATAATAGTAGTAAATCTGTAATAAAATAGAGCCCTCCGCGTATCCTCTATCTCCCGTGTAAAGAAACCTTGAGGAACAGTAATTAGCGTAATTAGCATACGTCTTTCAATCAAATCGTAGACCTGTCTGCGCATTACATATGTACGCCCATCCTCAGAGTCTTAATAAGAAGGTCTGATGGTGTCTGTATCCAACACTGCCTAAAGCACACTTGCCTTTACTTCAGATCGAGCGCCCAGAAATTGGATTCTTTACTTTGGAGTAGCATCTAGTATTGTCACTTTTCCTTCAGGCGCTCTCTGTGTATTCCTTGCTTTCTATGACGGCTGTTGGAAGCGGCGAATTCCATGGAACTTCATATCCTCCCTCCTAGGTAAATTGTTACTAGTTGTTCTATTCACTCGGCATTTTTTATTCAATAATGAGATCGGTTATTTGTACTGTATTTGCGTACGAATTTCCGGTTCGCTTCGAATAAACAAGTTTACTCTACATCACTTTCTACTGATCATGAACTCCTCATTTTGTGCATTAATGGAGTCATAAAAACCATAAATTCCGCACAATTATTGCTACCCTTTGTTAAGTAGCGGTGGCATATCTGATGCTTTTTCCCACTACCTATGTTTAAAGGTTTGCCATGGCTGAATCCATTTGGCCAACATATGATCCCGTGCTCAATCTTAAGCGTCTAACTCACTCTCAGCACGAAACAATTGTCTCCTCTGTAGGCTACGTTTTGGGGGGAGTGGCCGTCTCAATAGTTCTCTTCACTACAAAGATGGCCCAGCCGGCATTGCTCTATCTCTGTCCATTCACTTTGCTGGCCACCATTGTAAGCGCCTACATACGGGGCGGTGTCGTGGAACTGCGAAACCTCTGGAGCACCAATCTGCCTACCCCTGCACCTCCTCTCAGTAGCATGAACAACGCTTCGGGGGACCAATCGGGCGCCTCAGACGGTGTGGATGAAGCGCCGAACTCAACGTCAACAGTAAAAATTGATGACGTGGGCAAGAATTTCCTCCATCATGATGAATACCTGAGAGCATAGATATCATCGACCCTTATTTTCAGTCTGACACCGGTCTCTATCTCTTTCGTGCTCAAGCATTATGGATGTCACCATGATTTCCTGAGTGGGACATTCCGTGACATGGCAGGATGAATCTGGAAACTGTGTGGTTTTTAGTTTCATTAAAAGCGAATCCTTATTTGAGTAGGTGCATGTTGTGGGAGTTGTGATCAGTGGCGTTTTAGGTGTGGTAAGAGGAGGTCTCTCGTTGGCCTTCGCATCTGTTATTACTTGGCTTCCATAGCTGCGGAGGAAAAGTTGGCTGTCTGCATGGCGCAGTTTACATTATCGGATGGTAGGTTTCCACATTCACCGACGGAATGGCACCGGTTTAACGACAGTTCCTTCGACATAGTCGGTGTTGTCATTACGTGTAGTTATTACAAATAAACTAGGAGCGGAGAAGGAGTACTTCGTCGAGAACTGAGGTTTATTTGCGGTCATGTGGTACCCTGGATAGCCTCAATGGTTGTTGGAAGCTGTATTGTCCTGAGCGGAAACGTTCCGCTAACACAAGGGACTGGGAGCGCTGCCACATCTTGGAAGCTAAGTTGTTAATAGCAGAGAACTTTGCGGAGGCTTGTGTAGAGGACGGATGTTACAGGTTAACGAGGTCTTGAAGTAAAAGTAGGCCAAATTTGAGGTGCTGGGGCAGTATGCGCAAAGATGTCGCGAATGCAGAAAGTGTTGTAGTAAGTGTCTTGCCCACAAAAGAAAGAGTAACAACAAAACATGGAGCAGGTGGGATTAGGAGTCGTGAAAATACTGTTATCTGGTTACTACAACTTTGTTCATGTGACTGCATGCTGCTTGGTCCTTATCTTTGTCTTCGTCTGACAGTTGTGCCCATAGGCTGGCCAGCCAAAGTCCAATCTCGCCTTATCCTCTTAAAAGACCTCCATCCAGCTCAACTAGGTGCTCCCTTCTACACAGTGGGAAGTCTTAGGTTACTACAGTTTCAAGTAAAATTAGTTTACAGATAAACGCTGAATTAAAAATTTGGCTTGTGATTAGAAATAATCAGTTATTTTAATACCATTCCTACATTGATTTGGTACGATACACTCAACAAATTTTTAAACTTTGACCATTAGATCATTATGAAAGAGTAGTGGGTAAATGCAAGCATGTGCGGCTACAGACTAAAATTGAGCTACTGAGGAGGACGCGAAAATGACACGTGTTGGCACCTGCCTAAAAATGCTTCGAAAGATTAGATGAGTTGTTCATTGATGCGTTTAGAGCACCAAATCAGTTCAGCAATATTTTCGCGATGTATGTGACTGCCAAGTTTTGCAAACCATATAACTCGAAAAGCGTATTAGTGATATGACCTGGTTTTGTAAGTCATTGGCAAGGTCCTGCTTGTTTTAATCTTTAACATTACGCGGAAACTTATATGAGTCTAGTAACAGCTGATGGGCACAATGTACTTTTCGTGCCGAAATGCGTGCCGTGTGTCCTTTTAACAAAGTTTTTCCGCTAACGGAGTTAATTGAAATACGAGGAGGGAGAAAATTGTTTGTAAATGTGTCGCTACCTGCTCTTCCGGGTAATGCCAGAAATAAAGCAATTTACTTTGTAGAAAAGGGTACGATTTTTTTCATTCATGGTGTTGGAGGAAGTGAAAGCATATGGAACTATCAAGTAGCTTACTTTTTATTAAAGGTATGTTTGCTTTTAGTTAGCAGAGGGGATTCGCTGTTTAGGCCATCTGGAGATTTTAGAAGTTTTTACGTTTGCCTCACCTTATATGACCATATTCTACATGGTTCTGTACTTATTTTAGCAACATCATAGCACAACATCTGTGCTCATGCACACTTAAAATTTTGACTTTACTTCGTGATACATTGTTTTGTGAAATCGTGCACTTTTCCACTCCTTTATCTTTTATTTTAAATGAACGGCAACCTATTACGAAATGCTAAATCTGAGGTGTAATTTCGTATGTCAAAAGTAAAAATCCATTTTACCTTAAATGTGTGAAATCTTGTCCACAATTTTTTCCTTTTTATTGGATATGTTTACGCTACATTTGGTAATGCTGTCACCATTTTAGAAGTCCGAAAGATGTTTTTTATAACCTTATCAGCTATTACTATCTTGCATTCATTCGTTGCACGTTGTGGCATCTTCGCCTGGAATATGACGAAATTCCTAGTATTAAGTACCGCCAAGTAATTGGTTTTTGTTATTAGAGCAAAAAAGAGAATGCCAACTCCATTCATGAACTTCTATAAAAACACGGTGCCTAGTTAGACTACCAATGCATTTACCTACTTTAACTGCGCTTTGGCAGTTAAAATTTCGTATTTGCATTGCAAGCAAATTCAAAACAATGGGATCATTAGTCTCGAGTCGGCAGACCTCTGGCGCGCATTTAATTCGTTTGTCTTTTTAACAAACGTGCATACTTTATTTGCAGTCCTCTTTTATAGGGATATCGGACAGTGACGATTGATTTAGTGGGACATGGTGCTAGCCCGATAGAAGCCAATTCCCGTCTTATATGCTGCGCCGATCAGAAATTGCCTATTTTTTCAAACTCGAAATCCCTTGATGTCTGTTTGCAATGTCCCAGAAAGCAAGAATTGGAGGCCTTTTGTGCCTTCGACGAACACTTCAAAGATGTCGAGGAGGTATTTGATAAATATGTCGTTAAGTACTATCAAGTAAAGGGGTCCCTAGCCAGCGATGACCAAAAAGAACAAAAATCGCCTATTATTACTGTAGTGGCTCATTCCTATGGGTACGTCGAAATTTCAATTGAAAATCCTGTCAAATTATGCCGTTACACGTATTAGATTCACATATTGATAAGGTATACCGAACGGTGTGTTGTAGGACCAAGGCTTTTTGTTAGGCTTGGTATGCTCGCTCCGTCACTCATTCAGGTTTGTGTCGAATGCATAAGCGAAACTCACAGGTGTCATGTGAGTGTGTTCTTTGCTATTGCAGTGATCAAAATCAGCCCATGAATGTGTTCATTTTATCTAAGAAGCTTAGCTACTGCTTAACGCCCTTCATTACACCCTCTTGTTAACTGTTAACCACGCTCTGGTAGCCTCCGGGGTTTCTTTTTTTTTTAAAAGTAGATCTTCGTGGATTTCACGTTCATTTCGTGGTCCAGCTAGTAATTTGTGCTTATTATGAATTAAGTAATGTTTTAAATACTTTGTTCTTTACCTTCGAAAGGCTGCTTTTATGCCTATAGAACCTAATACGTATTCTTTGATGAACTGTCAGTTGTTAATCTCTCCAAAAAATGAAATGATGCAAGGAATGGTACCACGTTTCATTTCACTCTGAGAAGATTTGTGATTGCCAAAGCACAAAGCTAAGTTGACAAAGGAAATGTGGCTACTGCAATCACTTAAATGACAGTTACAGGATTATGGCAAGCGAGTTCCCCTTTCAAGTGATGTCTCTCAGTGCTTCACACGTGCGCTCAGATTTGTCAAGTCTTATCAAAATGCAGCTACCTTTTTCACTTAGGCCTACTGGCGGAATCCTAGAGAATCTTGAATTTTTTGGATAATAGCTTTAGCGTGCTTGTAATGCGCTTTCCTCCAACATAGCTTACGGAACCATTCATGCCAAGCCTTATTTAAAAAGTCCGCTAACATAAAACCGTCTGCTAATCCCCTATCAAGCCGTTGTAGGACTTGACCGTGTGTTTCGCCAAGACACACTGCCTCTTTATTTTTGACACTTGCTTGGGGAATAGGTGAAATAGAGGTGATTCAGGATATACAAGTTCATCACCTTCCTAATCATTTTAAAGTAGTCAATGATTTTTGGAGGCCTTTTTTCAGTCTCCTTTGAAATCCTACATTGTCTTTTTGTGTCTTTAAGTGCGACTATCACAATTGAGCTTTTTTATTAGGAGAATTGCGTTGTTGTTGCTGTCAGTCGTGCTTTGACCATTATTTAATCCATCAATGATGATGCATCTTTCCTTCTAAAGGATAAAGCCTTGGAACAGTTCGATGAGTAGACAATGCTGAGATTTTAGACAGTTTCCGCGACACCTTCCTAGGTTTGGTTCGGAAAGTGCTTGTTGGTTCAAATGCACTTTTAGAAATTATCAAGGCGCTCGAAACTAATTCAGCAGATGATTCTGAAGAGTTTCAATGTATCCAGTCTGGTAGCCAAGTTGTGCATCCAACTGATGATTGTTTTTTCTTGTCCCCAAATCCAATATACTGGAATCAGAGAATCCTCCAGGCTAGAGGGTATCTTCACATTCAACACAAGATGAATACAACACTTTGTTTCTGAACGTCTACTCAACCTTGGATTCATTGGTCTCCACATTATCCAAGAGCAAATTAGTGACATTCTCAGAGTAATGCATTGCTTTGGTTATCGCATCTGATCTCAATGCATCAGCATCCCTGCCGAATGATGACAGCCCTTATGTGGCGGCCTGGACCCTCACCAAATTCGTCAGTAAACGAAGCATCATGACAGACCACGAAATCAGTCAACACGACCCCAGCACTCTGGCCACTGTCCCGACTGAAGTGCTCTTGTAGTTGAGCACTTATTTAAGTTTTTGCAACACCACTGCTTCTGTTAAAGATAGGAAGGAAGCTGATTATGCCATACCGTATCTTCTTCTTTTTTCCTTCGGAAATACTGTAGTTTTAAATTGACTGTAAATATTTGGTGCTTCGGAAAATCTCTTCAAATGTTTTTCCTTTTTTTTGCCAGAAGATGTCCGATTTTACTTTTCCTTTTCCTATTGTAATGCTTTACAGCGTTTCTTTGTGATAAAAAGGGACTGGAGAATGAATGTCCAATGCGAAATTATGTTTCCGAGATGGTTTTTTTTCTGAAAAGTTTTTTTTTTCATCCTATCCCAGCCTCTATTTAAATGCTTTTGTACTTGGATTACTAATACATTCCTCCTGCAGTCATTGAATTTTGTCCTCTAGGCGTACAAAAGTCGACATTAAGTAAACGCCTACGAATTTCAAGCCTCTTCTTATCAGTAGTCCTCACTAATACCTCACCTCAATGCCTTGCGTGTGTTGAGCTGTAACTTGTGAAAGTGAAAATTGTATGCGGACTTGTTATCGCGATCCCCGAAACGACACCGCCTTTCCCTCTAAGCTCAAAAGAAAAAGCAAGCAACCAAACAAACACAGGTACTGCGGTTTCAGCGCTACATGAATAGCCTGCATTTGTCGCTCTATTCTTTCGGACGGGCGATGGACTACTTATTGGCATTGCTGCCCTCCTCATAGTTGTACCACTTGGCTCAGTCACCGCCCTCTTCAATTCAGTACGTAGGACTGTGAATGTAGTACGGAATGTCCCCTCCACTTCGGTGGCTAATCTCGCTCTTCTCTACATGAAAGCATGAAAGTTTTAACACAGTTTGAACTTTAAACAAATCTAGGCCTTATAAAACTTATCAATTTACCAACTTGAGCGACCGCTACTAATATAAACAAAGTCCAGTTTTGTGTTTTCCTCATAAGCTCCCTGTTTGAAGTTTTCAATGTTAGCCGTAGCATGGAAAATGAAGTGAGGCATTTTGAAGAACTCCTGAGTCAATGTTCACATTCATATTCCCTTTGATTAAACACTTTTACTGTTTTTTATGGCTCACTAACACTCGGAGTCTACGCTCTCGATAGCAAAGAAAAAATTCCATTCATGCCTTCCTGGGTATACTGTTGCGACCCACTTTTTACTTCTATTCGAAGTTGTTGAAATCCTGTTTAAACTCCCTTCAGGCCTAACACTACAATTGCGTAGATGGCTAATTAAGCATTGAAGTGGTTGGGGTGTTTTTTTTTCCCTTCGAAAAATTATGCAGATTATTTGTCAGTAAACTGCATGACATTTTTGGG